TAATCATAATCTGTTCCTTGTAAATTAGTAATGATTTGTGACATTGCTTATTTCTTTTTTCCTTATAGTTGTATCTGTTTAAAATGGGCCCTGCACAAGACATGACCGGTGCAATTATTGAAGAAAACTGTCAATCAATTTCGTTCTATCAAGTTTGAAGCTCCACCTACATCAAGTAATCCTCCACCTACCATATATACAAATTATGTAGCAGGTTCATTGTTCAGTCTTCCTTGCCAAGGGTATAAGGATCTATATCAAATCAAATTACAGTAGAATAAAGAACTTTTTATATATACATTATGTCTACTTTGTCAACCGTCAACTTCTAAGAAATGCCTGTCAAACAATTCAGGGAATTAAAAGTTGACCTATAGAATCAGTGTACTTGTGTTTAGGCTGAAAGCTATTATTAATAGCCTCAAGAGAAAAAACATGGGTTTTTCATCTCACTCACTCATCACCTATGCAAAGATATTGAGAGTGCCTATGGCGGTATGTCCCTTTTCGCTTATGCTATGTTACCTGGTAAATAAAATGAATACAAGTTCAATCTACACGTGTGTTGCGCATTTACCATCGTTACCTGTGATACATATTTGATGGAATGTAGGAATTGTACAGGTGCGGAAACCGAATAGAAGCTGGAATATCCATCCATATGTCGCCACTGGACGAAACAATCGCCCTGATTGGTCGAAAAAAAGGAAGATTTCGATGACGTCAGTCAGAAGTGCCCATTGCCAGGTTTTGCAATTCCCTGTTTTGACTTGTGTCATATCTTCCCGTGTTTTTGTCAGGTGTTTGTGGCACCGGTGGGGCCGACACGTTCACAGTTTCGTGAACTCTAGGTGGTATCACTATTTAATAGATGTTTCATAAACACATGCTCACGAAATAGTCGGAATCGTACAAATCGTGATTTCTTAGGAATAGGGAAAGGGTTGTGTAGCTTTTATTTAAAAGAAAACTTACGCTTTGCAGGTTGCTGTGCATTTATGTGGACATATAAATGTGTGACCCCCATGTGTGTTTGTGTTGAGTAGAGCTACGGTAACTTTATGTAACGAGCCTATGATCATGGGCCCACTTGCACAAAGACAATAGCGCTAAGATGATCGTAATTCCTATACTTTAACGTAGGCAACAGTCTCAGCGCTAAGATCGCTTTGTGAAAGTGGGCCCTGGTCGTGTTACCGCCGAGTTTGTGATGTCAAGGATGTACGAGTTTATAAAACCTTTCGAACGTCTCCTGTGTCTTGTGGTACAGCGGTCTGGGGTTCGATCCGCGGCCAAGTTATACCAAAAAGACGTATAAAGATGGTACTTGTTGTTACCCTGCCTGGCGCTCGGAATAAAGGGTCTTAAACAAGGACTGGTCGGCTTGGAGTCAGTTTAGAGTCGGGTATTCGTGTTAAACTGCGGCATGGTATCTCAGTGGGATAGCTATGAAATCGGCAATCAGTCCCCACACACACACTTGCATGCACGTCGCAGTAATAATAATAATCTTGGACGCGACGTTAAAACCCATTTCAACTCACTTTTCTGAGTACAATTTATGCTCATATCCCGTTTCTTGTCAGACTCACTAAACGAAGGTTATAAATGGAGCAGCCATATGTATAACTTACACTCATCTGAAGTTGAGTTTTGGTGTTACGGAAACAATTCGTTGAACATTAAAATAAAATCATATGGACAGATTTGAACAAGATATGTCATGTTGAAGGTTTCTTTTCAAAGAGGGGCGGTCGGGTAGCCTAGTGGTTAAAGCGTTCACTCGTCACGCCGAAGACCCGCGTTCGATTCCCGACATGGGTACAATGTGTGAAGCCCATTTCTGGTGTCCACCGCCGTGATATTGCTGGAATATTGCTAAAAGCGGCGTAAAACCATACTCACTCACTCACTCACTTTTCTTAGAAAGGAATGCTTTAGAATTATTTTGAACATGCAGGTCCGGTGAAGAAATTAGAGTCATACAATAAATGAAATGGACACATTTCACCCCCATTTTGATCAATAACGTTATCGTCAATATAAACCAAACGTTTCTTTGTTTGTTAATTATGGACTGATTAGGCCAATATAGATCAAACGTATCTTTTTTTGTTAATTATGGACTGATTAGGCCAATATAGATCAAACGTATCTTTGTTTGTGAATTATGAACTGATTAGGCCAATATAGATCAAACGTATCTTTTTTTGTTAATTATGGACTGATTAGGCCAATATAGATCAAACGTTTCTTTGTTTGTTAATTATGAACTGATTAGGCCAATATAGATCAAACGTTTCTTTGTTTGTTAATTATGAACTGATCAAAATAGGCCAAACGCACCTTTCCTTGTCGATTATGGACTGTTTAAGTCAAGATAGGCCTAACGTATCTTTGGTTGCTCGTCTGAAACTTATGTTTGTGGGTTGGAATCCCGGTTCACCACGATTATGTTCCTAGGTATGACAGAACCATACCCGTGTTCGTGTGTTTCACTAAAGTTGTAAACGTCTGCGAATTGCATCACTTCAGATTTCCCTCCAACATCAAGCTGACACGCCGTGATATGACTGGAGTACTAATCAATGGGGCGTTAAATCCAACTCACTCACTCACACATTTCGCAGAATAACCTCTAAGGAGGGACTTTCTACAGAATATCCTTCTCTACCGGGGACATTCCAAGAATTTTCCTCGCTGAAGACAACAAATGTCTTCTTTATATTTTAGTTGATGGAACCTGCATCCTTCCTATCTGAAGTCTAGCGAATGAGCCACCAGGCTCACAGAGGCGCTGATGGGCCACACTGCTTTGAGGAACCTATTTTACAAGATTAAGTACATGTATGCCCGCAAGATATATTTTCCGTCCGTTTCCTAGCGCCCATGTAACGTTGGTTGGTTTGTTGTTTAACGCCGCACTCAGCAATATTCCAGCTATATGACGGCGGTCTGTAAATAATCGAGTCTGGACCAGATAATCCGATGATTGATATCATGAGCATCGATCCACGCAATCTGGATCGATGACATGCATCAACCAAGTCAGCGAGCCTGACCACCCGATCCCGTTAGTCGCCTTGTAGGACAAGCATAGTCGCCTTTTACGGCAAGCATGGGTTGCTGAAGACCTATTCTACCCCGGAATCTTCACGGGTCGATATACTAAGGAAATAAATGGCAGTGAAATAAAGTACCAGTAACGCTCTGTGTAGTTGAAGATAGTACGTCAAGACTGTATACACAGGGATATTTCCAACATATACTACTCAAAAGAAGTTAAGGATCACCCGATTTTTTTCATATTGGTAATGTTAATCTGTCATGGCATGTGATCCTTAACTTCTTTTGAGTAGTATATATGCTCCTAGTACCGGTAAGTGTATTGACCTTACATGAACATTCAATATCTAGTTAATGTATGGGGATTCCATTTATTGTGTTATTTTGCTCCTATCCCTCTGCCCACTCAGCGAGTAAAGAAGTACATTATGTCTGTCCCATGTGCTACTCTAAGTTAGTCCAGCTTCCCTGGCTGAGAGCCTTGCAAAAGGTCTCCACTGTCCGACACAGCCTTGGCCACTCACTCATTGGCAAACATTGTCTGGGTTGGTGGCAACCGTGAGTTGCAGCTCTAACACTGGCTGACAACAATCGTAGAGCTTAGTAGGATTTGTGACATGGGTACCTGGGCGGGTAATATAATGTTCGATATGACGTCATATGCTTGTCATGTCACAATTGGAGCTGTTGTCACATGTCGGGAATCGAACCCGGGTCTTCGGCGTGGCGAGCGAACGCTTTAACCACTAGGCTACCCGACCGCCCCGACATATTAAGAGTCCGCGTGCAAAACGTAGATCTTGACACGCAGATATATTTCACTGTACCTTGTCACCTGTCTCATTGTGTCTCTGTAACTTGTGAATACTTAATGACGTCAACCTTGGTGTATAGTTCGAGAATCGTGAGAGAGTTGGGTGTAACGCCGCTTGTAACAATATTCCAGTTATATCACGACGTGTCAGTTTAATGTGGGAGGAAAGCCCGAAGTGATGCAGGTCTCAGACGTTTACCACTTCGTTGAAACCCACGAGCATGGGTATGGTGCTGACAAACCTAGAAACATAATCGGTGCGAACCGGGATTCGAACCCACAATCATAGGTTTCTGGCGTGCCCAAGGGACGCAATTCTGCACAGCGAATCGCGGCGCCTTAGACGACGGGGCCACCCATGCCCCCCGGTTCGAGAATAACCTACGAGCAACGAGGAATGAAGGATTAACCGAATTATTTACCTAGTAATCTGAGCCTTATTTCACGAAGGACAGATAATCCAGAACTCCAAGTTGAAAGTATGTGTTTCTGTATCATATATCTATTCCTCTGGGAAAATGAGGGTTGCCAAATACAAGTGGAGACAATTAGTGAAGCTCATTGTTGAGTCTGTGACGACATAAACAGTGGACGTTATCTGTAATTGTTTGTGACAAGTGTTGACGTACCGACACAATGCAATAGAACAGTTGAACTAGTGAGTGAGTGAGTATGGATTTACGCCACTTTTAGCAATATTCCAGCAATATCACGGCGGGGGACACCAGAAATGGGCTTCACACATTGTACCCATGTCGGGAATCGACCCCGGGTCTTCGGCGTGACGATCGAACGCTTTAACCACTAGGCTACCCGACCGCCCCCAGTTGAACTAGCCAAAGAGCATGGCTAAAAGAAAACAACGCTCAGGAAACTAAAGGTACAGCTAACTCGTAAAATCCTGTACATTCGTTGCTGCATATGCATGTTAACAGAAGACCAAGATGTGTGCTCAAATGCATCAAACACATATACAGTAAACTACGTTTATAACGAATACGCTTATAACGAACTGGCGAATATAACGAACTAAAATTAGTGGTCCCTTTGAGTTCGTTATAACTGTAGTTTACTGTACTGTCATACTTGATATACACGAATACAAATACAAAAGAAATGGTTAATATTTCATGAAATATTTATTTTCAACAACGAAATATGGCCGAGTCATAGCATAAAATTAGTTTATCTCAGTTCCTGAATCCATTCGGTGTCAAGTGACATATTAAACCGCAAAGCCCTTTACGAAACTAATTGAGAGAAGATATTTCTTTAGCATTAAAATAGTAGGAGTGCAATAACAACGAACTGTTCCTAATTAAACCTGATATTGACATATGTTGAAACTTTAGTACAACTACTTCAGGTTTAGACTAATTTGCAACAACAAAATTTCAAATGCATCTTTTGAGTGGTCATTGTTCAAAATCAATATACACGGATCATAGCAGGATATTTGATGCAAGGCGTACACATAGAAATGCTGGTGTTACACGTAGTACAACAGAATAGAAAAAGAAATATATCTTCTGCATTGTATTTTCTGATTTGAAGAATTTCATTGTGACATTACCGACAACATAATCGGGGTTATAATTCTAGGGTTAATTATATTATGGTATATGATTTTGAATTCAAGATCCAACTCAAAAAGGTAGTGAGAGTGTCCCTAACAGTGTTCCCCCGTCTCCACCCCTGCCCAAATCCCAAACAAGCCCACTAAAGTAAATCTGAATATTGGCCAATACTAGCAAGGTAATCTGGAGTATAAAAAGGAAAAAGCATTAAGCCGCGATTATCAGGTGGCTGCTAAGTCAGCTCTTATCCAATCCATCCTTCTTTGGAATGGGCCGCTTCATTGCAACAGCGCCTGCAGGTAAAAACATGGAATACATTTACATGGGCGCTAGGAAACGGACGTAAAATATATCTTGCGGGCATACATGTACTTAATCTGCGACTAGCAATTAAAATGCACCATTGATACTGATTACTGTCATGTAATGTATATATAAACTACCACATGAATACTGGTTCCAGGCAAGCTGAAACGCAGATCAATCAGTAGTGAATTCTGTGATCATTGATCAAAGTTTTTATCCATTTTTAACACCTCGGGTTTTCCAGCCGACTGTGTCGTAGTTTACGACAACCAATGGTACATAGTGCCAGTTTGATGATTGCGGTGGACTGGAATTTCGGAAGTGCAATGCACTTATCGATATTCATGGAAATGTAAGAAAAAATGAAAGTTTCAAGAAAATTAAAATACCTTATACTCGTCTGATGGAGATTGTCCTTTGATTGAAAGAACCAAGGTCACTATACCGTCCGGTATCTTCGTCTATGCGATACTTTCCGTCACTGCTTACGAGGTCCCACCTGAAATTAAGAAGGTAGGAATCTTGAGAACACCAGTATGTTTCCACGATGAAGTCATACATATGGAATACTGTAAGGGACATTCTCGCATTCTCGTGTGTTGGGCATTTTTGGCTCGTTTCCAAAGGTCGAGATCGCGAGAATGCGAGATCGCGAGAATGTCCCTTACAGTATTCTATACACACCACTGTGGGTTGATAAAGAAGATTATTCTGATCCATTACTCGCCCTATGCCTGACATAGCCCAGAGTTGTCTTTGTTTCTGCTGGTGTTTCAAAGGTAATACTATCACTACTCACGGAACCCCAACCTGAAACCAGAATATATGTTGACACATACTAGGTTAATCTAATGAAAAGAATCTACTTACCTTCCAGAGATTACCATAGCTGATTGAGCCTTGTTAGCAAAGTCGTCAAGACTTGGGAGGGATGCATGGACTGTTACACATTCGTCTTTACAGTTGAGATCGCTGTACAAGATAACATTGACTTGAGGCTGAGTCTTGCTCTGAAATAAATAAATCATGGGTTGAAAAAGTAGACAATCGACTATGTAAATTACAAGCATACAAAACTGTCTACAGGCTGTTAACTGTGTGGACCCAATGACATGGATCGATGCTCATGCTTTCAGTCACTGGGTTGCCTTGTCTAGATTCGAGTATTGACAGACTGCCGTGACAGAGCTGCAACTGTCCTGACAACTGCGGTAAACAACATTCACTTACTATCTATCGACGGGTATTTCAGATGACATTATGAACACTTCTTGCAGACATGACACAGCACATTATCATGTCAAACATAATGTAGCTTCACATATCAGGAATTATGTGTCATTCCCTTTGTTGTCTACCTTGTTATCAAAATTAAAAATTCACCTAAGCAAACCGTCAAGTGGATTTTCACTGAATCTATGATCTTTGGGTAATTGTTCTTCAAATAAAAAACCCCATCAAAGCCCTTCCATAACCATAAGAAATGTCTGCTAAAAGCAGAGTCCATTGTACGATTCCGATTATATTATAAACACTTTTTTGTGAATCACTATCAAATAGTGATGACACCAGGTGTTCACGAAAAGGTCTCCTCGATAAAAATGTTTAATTGATGAACTAATTCATAATAATTAAATATAAACATATATTCTTATTGCATGAAAAATTAATGAAATTACCAAATATATTTATAAACAAACATCTCATTCATTCATTCATTCATTCATTCATTCATTGTGTTCACTCTTCTGTCTTATAACCGTTATACGTGTATATCGTGTCTGTAAATCACACCCCTGTCCCATTGTAGGCTGATTAAGTGAGTATAAATAAGTAACTATACATTATAATTAGGACTGATCCATTGCCGCATGAGATTTCTCTTAGTCAGTACAATCTGGCTAAGTTGAGGGAACCTGGTATCTTACCATTGTAACTGCAGATGTTTGAAGCTTTCAAACCTGAAAAAAAACATGATAGAATAAACACGTGTCAAGAAGATAAATAACACGCGGAGATGAAGGTACATGACATCAGTACCAGTTACGCTTCATTTCAGACGACAAAGCCTGTCGTGGCACTGTCATTGGACTGTTGGACGTTTGGACTGCGGATCTACGAAACAGTTTGAGCAGATATTGACAGACAAGAACGATGTCCAGCACAAGCAAAGCTGAAATGTAGTCACAGTGTTTAATGATTGTTTAATGAGGCGACTAACGATATCGGATGGTCAGGCTCGCTGACTTGGTTGATGCGTGTCATCGTATCCCAATAGTGTGAAACGATGCTCATGAAGCCAATCACTGGATGGTCTGGCCCAGACTCGATTATTTACAGACAGCCGTCATATAGCTGTAATATTGCTTAATGCGGCGTTAAACAACAAACAAAATCATGATTTAATAAACATTTCGAGTTTCCATTTTTCGATCAGAAGATTTATGTTTTTTGTATTATTTAAACATTTTATGAATGGATGAATAAAAGCATTGAAACACACTTTGATGTCATTATTAATGGAAAATATATTTCAACTTTCATCTTAATCGGCCTGGATGTTTCATTGGTTCACAGACGCCGCCAACGGTGACCGACCATGCCACTTGCTAACCAAGAGTAGTCTGTGCTAGTTGACGTGTTTTTGAGTACAAAAGTAATGTAAGGAATGAGACGTTAAAACTGTCCCTACTGTGCCATTTTGACGTTGTAATTACAATATCGGTGCCTATTAAATATCCACATCAATTATTTATCCAAGGCTAACTATCTTTTGGTTTGTAACCAACGATAATAACTTTTGTGAAAAAAGCTGGTATTTAACTGGTATTGGTTTGGGTATTTAACTTCAGATGAACTGCTTCTTCACGGATTATTCAAATGTTTAAGTAAACGGGAAAATAGACTTTCTATAGCATTTATCCAACAGATTTCACGAAGACAGACAGATCAAAACTTTCAGAAAGCGTCACAACGATGTTAGATTAGTCAGGAGCAATACAACTCTGTCCTGATTTGCATGAGCTTTCTTGTGGGAGACACTTTATGTATTTGACTGGCCACTCTGCACATTAGTGAGGCTCAATTTTCTCATACGAATTGGTAATGCGCTTTTGAAAAATACACTGGGAGACAAAATAATAATCCTGAACATACACGTATGTGCCTTTATTACAAACTTAACCAAACTGAAAACTGATGTTTATATTTTATTTTTTATTTTCGGGTGAAAATCAGTGATAACAACAATCGTTTGAAGTGAACTAAATACGTTCAGATTGGATTGTAGATGATAATAAAGTTTGACGTTTGAAACAAATGTCCACAACAGGATTACTTCATAAGTCTACAGGGGCGGTCGGGTAGCCTAGTGGTTAAAGCGGTCGCTCGTCACGCCGAGGACCCGGGTTCGATTCCCGACATGGGTACAATGTGTGAAGCCAAATACTGGTGTCCCATTTCTGGTGATATTGCTGAAATATTGCTAAAAGTGGCGTAAAACCAAACTCATTTACTCATAAGTCTGGAATAAAGAGGGATAAAGAAAAATCTTTCTTACCAAGGTTTGTTGATCGTTCGTCGAATCTTGCCTCTTGCCAGAGCTGAAGTAGCGAACAGATCTCACCAGCAAGTTATATAGTAGTTCTGCATCCGGGTATCAACGCCCTCAAACCACCCTGCAACTTCAAGGTGTATGTTGCTAGCCAATCAGCAGTGGTCTTATTTGTATAAATTGATAAGCATCTTCTGCGTATCTGCAAAATTTACATATCCTCCGAAATGGTCAACTATTTCCCAGGAAGACTGTTTATGTGACTATCCAGTCGACTCGACCTATTTTTTGGATGTATGGTACATTCAGTCTGGACTATCTTTCGTCAGTTACATCCTGCTTCCACAACTGTTTTCTCACATGCAACCCTCATGATTTATTGTGCATAAAATGTAACCAGCTTTCTTATCACACAACAGCATGTGTGGGAACTGCAGGGTTCGCTGATGAGAGAAGCTGTGATAACTTATCAATGGAAGGATTAGTATAATAATAGTGGGGCAAAAACAATTCTCTACTCGACTGAACATGAGGACTTTCAGAGAGAAAATGCAACTCATCATCAAAAGAACGTGTATTATCAACATTGCACTTTTTGTATACGCAGGACTATGGGTCATGTGGCCTCAGATGCAAAAGGGCCGCCTCCGTGGTCTAGTGGTAGAGCGTCCGCCCGGAGAGCGGAAGGTCCGGGGTTCTATCCCCGGGCGCGTCATACGAAAAGACGTTAAAAAATGGTACTTGTTGTTACCCTGTCTGGCGATCGGCATTCAGGGGCTAAAACAAGGGCTGGTCGGCACGGAGTCAGTATACTGAGTCTGAGTGGGGTATTCATGTTAAACTGCGGCATGGTATCTCAGTGAGCTAGCACTATAACTCTGCATCAGTCCGGACTAGTACAAGCAGCCACACAAACACATACACGTACGTGCACGTCGCTATATAAGTGCAATAATATTGGACGCGACGTTAAACCCAATTTCACCTCACCTCACCTCAGAGGCAAATAAACGTGTCACGTGTCACTTGCAAACTGTATCGTTCCTTCGTCTCTCTAGTTCTGTCATTTTACATAAAAGAAAATGTATTCAGTGTTCAACAACTTGAAAACAAAATTTACAAATGAAGGATATCAATAGCCATAATGTTGGGCGCAGTATGTTACACACCTATGAACTCTTACAAGCAAATAAATTATCGCGCAGCTGTCTAAAATAGATATATAAGTCTATATTAAATATATTAATACTCTTTCTTTGGCAATTTAACTTTAACTTAGCTATGTACGTTGGGAGTGTGAACTCACATATAACACATGGAAAGTTAATGGTTAGGTTTGGCTAAGTGTTGTATCTGTAATCATAGGGTGAGGTTTGGCAAAGTGTTGTAACTGTAATCATAGGGTGAGGTTTGGCTAAGTGTTGTAACTGTAATCATAGGGTTAGGTTTGGCAAAGTGTTGTAACTGTAATCATAGGGTTAGGTTTGGCAAAGTGTTGTAACTGTAATCATAGGGTGAGGTTTGGCTAAGTGTTGTAACTGTAATCATAGGGTGAGGTTTGGCAAAGTGTTGTAACTGTAATCATAGGGTGAGGTTTGGCTAAGTGTTGTAACTGTAATCATAGGGTGAGGTTTGGCTAAGTGTTGTAACTGTAATCATAGGGTGAGGTTTGGCCCTGAGTGTTGTAACTGTAATCATAGGGTGAGGTTTGGCAAAGTGTTGTAACTGTAATCATAGAGTTAGGTTTGGCAAAGTGTTGTAACTGTAATCATAGGGTTAGGTTTGGCTAAGTGTTGTAACTGTAATCATAGGGTGAGGTTTGGCCCTGAGTGTTGTAACTGTAATCATAGGGTGAGGTTTGGCAAAGTGTTGTAACTGTAATCATAGAGACAGAAAGTGGTTAAGTCTTTGTGTGGACTGGGTCAACTCTTTGTGACACTTTGGGTGTTTGTTTAGACATATTTTATTGTCCAAAAAGACACGAGAGCAACACTTACTGCCGCCTTCTCCATGTACATATTTAAACACATGCAAATATAATACAGTTAAGAGTTAAATATAGATGTAACAATATCAATTACTTACAATTAGGAAACAATAATGTTCTAACTATTGAATGGTCTGAATGGTTCCGTGCCTAACATGAGTTCGTCATTAAATCATCAGTCGCATGTTAATATGAACATAAATTCACGAACACTGTGAAATATACGGCAAACCAGATGGACGGTTAAAAATTTAAAAAACCTACACAATTTCAGAAAATTACAGAAATTATTTCTCACAGTGAGATTGAATCAGTGACTATGTGAGATTCCAACAACAAAAAGTATCACCTTTTCATACGTTTTTCAACAATTTCCGTGTGGATTCAGTTAATATAGAAACAAATAAACCCTTAAAACCCACAACTTAAAGATGTGAATAACCGACATATCATTCTTAACTGGGAAAGTGATGTTAACATTAGACATGAATTAATGCACTGTTGATTATTTAACTATTTGCTACATACATATATCTACGATTAATCAACTCACTACAACAGTTATCCATCCCAACAAGCCTCATTAGCTGTTGTGATAATTAAACATTACAGACTTTATTGAGTCAAACAGTAGGGATTTATTATTCAACGTTCGATCATTGTTGTCATTAAATCGTCTAAAAACAATTTGTTTTAATTTTGCCGGCCCCTGGAGAAAGGAAACAAGATAATGATAGAAAATGGTTAAGAATGTCCAACGTCTTGGTGTTCTTCCAATGATGAAAACGGTGGATATATTTCACGCACAGTTGGCTTAGCGCAGAGAGAAACTCTCGCCTATTTTGTCACTATATTTCGAAAATAAATGACGTATTAGGGTTACTAAAACTTGGCTTGAACAAATCCATATACAATTCATGAGAAAATTATCGCATATGTAGAAAAATACTCCGCTGTTTATGCTTCAAAGTAAATTTAAATAAAATAAATAGGAAACTGCCATCGATATAATCTATCCTCTTTCCACTGCCTACATCATGTTTCAGTTGTGTGTAAAACGGGATACATGCTTTTCACATGTAAAGGGTATTCTCAATCACACTGACTTGATATGGGTATCGATGACCTTTATTTCACTTTCCTGGTTTATATATGTTCCTTTTAAACATTCGGATAGAGTAATTAAACATTAACATTCCATAAAATAACATCGCAATATACCGGGATGTACATGGACCCGAATTCATCCCTCAAAATAACTTCACTACATGCAGAGTTGTTTAAAGGGTATCATATGAGAAGATTGTTTTCACAACAATGTAAGTCACAACTTGTGTACCTGGCTATATTGTGCACTCATGCAGAGAAGGGTTGGTGGCCACTTGTACTTAAGAAATATACGACTCGTGGTCGTTGTTTATCGTCAATAAAACACTGCAGGGAGAATAAACCATGAGGGGAGCTGCGAATACCGCTCGCTGCAACGTCATCAACGTTTTTTGCGATCTGTGAATCGGAGGCAAAACCTTGATTCGTCCTTAAACATGGTGTAACGCCAGTGTTGTGGAGCCGACCCCAATCTTCGCCTCCGGAATGCTGTCAGGGTCACCGCTTGACAGGAATCCTAGCTTTCAGGCGAGCTGCATTGAGTCGGTTTTTAACAGTAGATGTTGAAATTTGCCTTCTCCCTGGAGCAGACAAACAAGTTATTGCTATTGTGAGCAGGGATCCACGCCGTCAGTGTACGATGACACGCAAATTATCCAAGTCACCGAGAATAACCACCCGATCCAATAATTTGCCTCCAATGACAAGCATAGGTTGCTGGGGACAATACTAGCTCGGCATTATTTATCATACTTATTTAACTAGAATAATTTATATGAAGGTTACAGAGGCTAAAATATGGATCATGTTACAAGGGGCTCTTCAAACATAATAATATACAGGATTCTACAAAAGGACATATATCTATCATTTTAAGACTTCGTTCTTCTGATTTTCCTCACAAAACAACAGGCTAAGAGCTGAAGGTTTTAAACGGGTCAGACAATTCTTTTTGTCTACGAATTTCTATGAGAACGAGTTGACGATAGATATAGTATATCGGTTGATGTAGGGTGAAAACATGTTTGTAGAATCTTGGCAACAATATGATATTGTGACACATAGGCATGAAACATATCATATGAAAGCTCCTTCTATGCCCTTTCTACTGGAATTCTTGTATATATCAATTAAAAGTAAAATATCAGTTAAAAATACTTCTTATATACATGGTTGTACTGAACTGCACATATTGTTATCACATCATACTGCTTATGACAAATCAATAATCATTGCATATTATGTTGATTGACATGCACGTCAGTTATTTTTCATCACGAAGTAATTCAGGTTCTGTGTTTTTAGTAAACGAAGCACAGGCCCATGAAAGTCTTGGTCAGAATTTATCTTCAGCAACCCATGCTTGTCGTAAGAGTCGACTAACGGGATCGGATGGTCAGGTTTGCTGACTTAGTTGACGCATGTAATCGTATCCCAATTGCGTAGATCGATGCTCATGATCGATGCTCATGATCGATGCTTTTAGGGTGTTTTCCGAAATTATCTCCTCCGATTGAATGGAGAAATAGAATACCTCTGGGGATGGTGGATAAAAGCTCGGTTCAAATAATGAACTGATCCAATCTCGGCCAGATGTGGAACTTGGTTGCTGGTTCCCTAACCCAAAGTACTTTGTCGAGAATTTAAAAATATTTGTTCAGAATTCCCCCGAACCGGAAATAATGAACAATGGACATAGAATAATCTCAGAAGTACTGATTTTGTTCTCAAACCTACCTCCTGATCACCATACAAGAAATTGTTCGCACGATAGGTTATCCTACAAGTCAACAGGTTACACTGCAGGACAAAAGGTTACACTGCAGGACAGTATATTACACTGCAGGACAATTGGTTAAAACTGCAGGACAATAGGTTACACTGCAGGACAACAGGTTACACTGCAAAACACTAAGTTACACTGCATGACAATAGGTTACGCTGCAGGGTGCCGTTGTACATATCAACCTTTGCACAAGTCTATGTAATGGTATGGGAGTTACGAACACCTTAATGCTAAGATCGCTTCGTACAACGGCACCCTGGACAATGGGTTACACTTCAGGACAATAGGTTACACTGCAGGACATTAGGTTACACTGCAGGACATTAGGTTACACTGCAGGACATTAGGTTACACTGCAGGACATTACGTTATACTGCAGGACAATACGTTACACTACAAGACAATACGTTATACTGCAGGACAATACGTTACACTACAAGATAATACGTTTCACTGCAGGACATAAGGTTTCACTGCAGGACAATTGGTTACACTGCAGGACATTAGGTTACACTGCAGGACATTAAGTTATACTGCAGGACAATACGTTACACTACAAGATAATACGTTATACTGCAGGACAATACGTTACACTACAAGATAATACGTTTCACTGCAGGACATTAGGTTACACTGCAGGACAATTGGTTACACTGCAGGACATTAGGTTACACTGCAGGACATTACGTTATACTGCAGGACAATACGTTACACTACAAGATAATACGTTTCACTGCATGCAGGACATTAGGTTACACTGCAGGACATTAGGTTACACAGCAGGACAATAGGTTACACTGCAGGACATTAGGTTACACTGCAGGACAATAGGTTACACTGCAAGACAATACGATACACTGCAAGACAATACGATACACAGCAGGACAATGCGATACACAGCAGGACATTAGGTTACACTGAAGGACAATAGGTTACACTGCAAGACAATACGTTACACTGCAAGACAATACGATACACAGCAGGACAATGCGATACCCAGCAGGACAATAGGTTACACTGCAGGACAATACGTTACACTGCAAGACAATACGTTACACTGCAAGACAATACGTTACAATACGTTACACTGCAAGACAATACGTTACACTGCAAGACAATACGTTACACTGCAAGACAATACGTTACACAGCAGGACAATACGATACACAGCAGGACATTACGTTACACTGCAGGACAATACGATACACAGCAGGACAATACGATACACAGCAGGACATTAGGTTACACTACAGGACAATACGTTACACTGCAGGACAATAGGTGACACGATAGAGCAATACGTTACACTGCAGGACAATACGTTACACTGCAGGAAATTAGGTTACACAGCAGGACAATGGGTTACACAGCAGGACATTAGGTTACACTGCAGGACATTAGGTTACACTGCAGGACAATATGTTACACTGCAGGACAATATGTTACGCTACAGGACAATAAGATACACAGCAGGACAATACGTTACACTGCAGGACAATACGTTACACAGCAGGACAATGGGTTACACTGCAGGACATTAGGTTACACTGCAGGACATTAGGTTACACTGCAGGTAAATAGGTTACACTGCAGGACAATATGTTACGCTACAGGACAATACGATACACAGCAGGACAATACGATACACAGCAGGACAATACGTTACACTGCAGGACAATACGTTACACAGCAGGACAATGGGTTACCCTGCAGGACATTAGGTTACACTGCAGGACAATGGGTTACACTGCAGGTAAATAGGTTTCTCTGCAGGACAATGGGTCATTTAATGGACGGCTTTCTGTACCATATAAGAGCGATACGTGGGCGTTAAGTTGCCTCTCAGGACCTGACGTATGTACATTCCAAGTGTGGCTTGGGTACCTACCACGTGTCTGTATAATTATTGTGCAGGAAGAAGACATTCCGAGGAGATATACTTTTCTCCGGGATTAACAACAACAAGGTTTACAACATTTTCTCGGGGAGGAAAGGACACCTGTATGACATTAAACCAAGTCGGTGAATATTGATACCGATGAAGTATGACTTTGCAACAATTCGTCACGTGTCAGAATGATGAATGTGCTGGAACATAACATGTATTATTTCTTACCGTCACACTTACTCCAGACGAACTATTCTCTTCCCGGGAAATCCGCGGGGTGACCCGGGGTAGAATGTGTCCCAAGCACCCCATTGCTGGTCGTAAGAGCCGACCGAATCGGGCAACCCGTTTGCCGTGGGTTGGTTGAGGGCGGGAGTCTAGTGGCCGAGGGCTATGGAGCCAGGAACCGGTGTTCCTTTTGCCCAACACACCACTTCGACCCTGACTTCACCTAGACGGGTGGTAGAATTGGCCCGATTCTATCAATTGGCGGGTCACGCCATGCCCAGTGCATGGAAAACTTGTATTTAGAAATATCACAGAAAATAATTTAATTTGTTTATCGTGCAATATGATAACGTTATTGATGCAAATTTATATTTTGCCAAGAGTCCTATGCCAGAAGGCGGTGACTGATTGTCCAGTCTGGTGATACGGACCGCAGAATTCTGTGTTTATATTGGAAAATGCCATGGGCCGAACCAGCCGGACATTTCTTCTTTTATTATAACAGCTTTTCATGTCTTTAGTTTTGGAGTATAACACCCCTGCAGCCCTGGTGTTGCAGCCTGGTTTCCACTGTGGCGGGTGGGTAGCAGGGGTGGTGAAATATATTCTTACAACATGTCTTTCAATCTAAATTCTAGTTCATCTAAACAAACGCACAAACACAAACGCAGGCATATAGATTCCCTTTCATCTGATATCTTATATATGGGCATGTTCCCTTTAGGGTAGTGCTGAAAATGGAAAATACCGCCAGTCCGTGAACGTGATGTCACGATGTAACGTTGGTGTGCTATGACGTCACAGATATCAGCCTTTCGCTCAGTCACTGGTTAACCAAACGTCCGGTACCTCGACGGTTATTTTGTGATGTTGCTGGAGATATGCTTAACGAAAATTTCTTTCTTGGAAATATTATGTGATACTAGATACAAACATGCTTATTGCGGCATGACTGGTATCTCGAACGTTAAAGAAGTGTGACTTACGCTACTTGGAACCGTATTTCAATGATATCACAGTCTGTCAGCTTGATGTAGCTTGGGGCACGGGTGGCCCAGTCGTCTAAGGCGCCGGAATTCGCTGTGCAGAGTTGCGTCCCTTGGGCACGCCAGAAACCTATGATTGTGGGTTCGAATCCCTTGTGTTCAGCCTGATATGGCATGTTTTAGGTTTGATAGAATTTGACTCAAGTAATTCAAATTAGAAAATAAATTATCTGCGACTTTTCATATCACCGGAAGGACAATGTGGTATACAATGTACATGTACAGATACAAGGTTTACAAACACAAAGAAAACAATCGATGTCTTGCACGCAGATGGTATTGGCTTCACTCAACGTGAGCGGCATTGGTCCTTTCGTCTTATATTGGTGTACTTTCTCCAATAAAGCTATTCTATAGAAGCACAGTTTGTGTTTCACTAATATCAGGTGGTACGTGTCTATCCTGGGCTATTGCACCAGGCGTTATCTTGTAATCACCATACAGTAAGTATATTTGGCGCCTGTTTTTCAATAATGTCGCTTCCGATCATCTTTGGGGATCCATCTTATGATACCTTGATGTTGAAAGTTGGACAAATAACCAATCTAATACGCATATGTAACTTAAAACATGTCTCCAAATTTGTCCAGTCTGTGATGCCCGATGCAATTCCCGTGTTTAAGTTGAACACTTGACTTACCTTTGCATGTGTTGTAAATGGGTGCCACCGGTTAGGCAGGATACGCTGAACGTTTCGCGACCACCTGGTATCATCCCTATCTGATAGTGATTCACCAACACATGCATATGATACAGTGGCAATCGTACAGTGGACTGCTTTTAACAGAGATTAATGACGATGAAAATTGGTTTGTCTAAGTAAATTGGGTTTATCAACGTATCTCCATAAAAATCCGTATAAAGAGAGATACATTGCTGGGTCCAGCACATGTACCAACAAATGTCTCAAAGACAAGCCATAATCCTTGATACAAGCAAGGAAGAGCTTTCGTTATATCCACAGAAAGTACTCGAGACAAGTTGAATTAAAACCACTCGGGGTCTCAAAAACTCAAAGGATTTGCTTGACGTTTTGCAATCTCAGAAGAAGAAAAAATCCATTCTGTCAAAACATTTGATTTTACCATTTTGTACACCACTTGACAAGTGGAAGTTCAGGAAAAATTTCATTCCTTCATCCATGAGGCTTTTGTCACAAAATGTTGTGACCACAGATACAGTTACGTATCTGTCAAAATTTAAAGCAACTGACAAGTTAAAGCAACATGTACAATTTGTGGGTAAGACATTTAGGCAAGAAGTAGGCATCCACGTGGGCAACAATTCAGCTCCAATTGTGCGGCCCTTCGTGCGGATCTGTTTCTGGCATATGAATCGGAATTTCTGCTCGGATTGGCAGTCAAAAGATAATTGATACCTTTAGTACATGGTTGATAGTGGACATATATCGTTTCATTGTAAAATTTCTTCGTTTCATTTTGGTCTGCCATTTCTCACGTTCGGAAATTTTGAGGAGGCTATTACTTGTTCATAAAAGAACCTTCATCCTTTTGTTTCACAGAGATCGTTCAATGTTCTGTTTATCTCACTCTCACAGATGGTGGTGTTGGTTTTAGCCTTTCTCCATTGGGATGACATTTGTTTCTCACAAAAGCTTTCTTTTCAATCATTAAAGGGCATAAATACTCATAGGAACTCGTTATTGGTCAGTAAATAAAAATATATACCCCCTGTGAGTAGAAATCTTATACATTGTATGTATTTATATTTACTGACCAATAACGAGTTCGCATGCTAAAAATATCCCTAATAAACACTACGCCTTTTTCGAACCATTTATCATATATATTTTTTTCTGAAAATTGATGGTTTAGCCACAATGGTTCAGTTATAATCTTACTGATGGTTATTGATCTTTGGTTTGTTGACAGTCATATTACCCCAAGTATCCAAAACGTCTTTCTACGTCTGTCCATGAGCCTGAATGCAATAATGGTTTCTCCAAATGCATAGGATTTGTTTGTTTTTGTTGTTTAACGCCACATTCAGCAATACTCCAGCAATATGATGGCGGTCTGTAAGTAATTGAGTCTGGACCAGACAAACCAGTGATTGATATTTTGAGAAACGAACCACCCCGTCAGGTAACATTGCCACGAAAATCAACCATGTCACAGAGCCTGGCCATCAGATCACCTCCAAGCAAGACGAATTATAAGCCAGTTTCACTAGGATGATAATCTATAGGAAGGGTCACAGAGGCCATAATGTGGATTATTGTACAAGTGGCGCTTCAAACGTGATAATTTATGAGATTCTACCAAATATGCCTCTTCATACTTTCGCTGTATTTCTGTTGATTTTATGTATGTTTTCAAAAGTTTTTGACCGATTTAGACGATTCTATTTGTGGCTGAATCTCGGGGTTACCGAGTTCACAATAGCCAATGAGTTGAATTCTCAACCAAAGGAAGTTATTTAGGGCCTAGCTGAAACCGGAAGTGACATATTCAGAACCGGAAGCACCAATAGCTCTTTTACAAAGTACATAGAGTTTGTTGGTGTAAAGCAATGGGTATTTGTTTTCTCAGTGAATAAAAGCATGTTTTTCTTAAAGAGGACTAAACAGGAACTTCAATATCACATCCATGCTAAAACATACTGAAAAATTAAGTTAGATACAGATAGAGGATAGTCTGACATACGCTTGTTACCATTAGTCAGATTCCTTCTAGCCTCTTTGGTCCAAGGAAAATGAGCAGATAAAAAATATCTATTTTGATCTATTCCTAAAAAAACGATTAGTCCAAATTTACATGTTCCACCATCTTTAGATGCTTGATATTAGTTTCTTATGACAGCCATATTGGATTCATTTACATCTTCTTTTGAGTGTCTTCCGAAATTTTCTCCAACGAAACAAGGTTTCACAATTCACATCAGGACTGCCGAACAGGGGTCTGAGACAGGCCAAAGCTAATATGGATTAATTGAAGTAAATAGGATGTTTGAGTTTCCTATTGAAATTAATGATCACATAATTACGAAAGACTTTATGTGGCGAAAACCTGAGGTTGACAGTGTGAAAAAACAAGACAGGTGATCCAATCCACCAGGATACATAGTCAAATAATGAGTGAGTGAGTGACTATGGTTTTATGCCGCTTTTAGCAATATTCCAGCAATATCACGGCGGGGGACACCAGAAATGGGCTTCACACATTATACCCATGTCGAGAATTGAACCCGGGTCTTCACCCTGACGAGCGAACGCTTTAACCACTAGGCTACCCGACCGGCCCCATAGTTGAATAAAGGAATCCAAACAGAACATTAGACATCTGAGATAACATGTATCAAGAAAGACTTTAATGTACTCCACAAACATAAGTACATTTAACAAAGTCAAGAAAACACTCAGGAACAGGTAAAATAGTTAGCCTGCTCTGTATACAACTAGAGAAGGCTGCTCCCTATGACACAATATGTTCTGGTGTGAAGAGCAATTCTTGTAAACTGAGAATACATTCCTCAGATGTGGACCTTAGTTCCTGGATGGAGAACTCAAAGTCTGGCAAAGTGAGAACATTCTGAAAGACAAATAAATACCTGTAAATAATAACCACAGTCACATCATCCCACTATGAAAGAAAAATGTTTGGTTACTTGGCCATGCTGTTGTCAAGAGAATCAAGAAATTGGTTTAAGGATTCCCCTAACCCTTAGGTAATGAACAATGAGGAAAAAATAATCGTTTGAATATGATGTTTTTGTTCTTCTCAATGGAAACCCACCTGATCACCACAAAAGAAATTGTGCATACAATAGGTTACGCTGCAACTCCACAAGTTAAACTGCATGACAATTGGTTACACTGATGTCAATATATCACACTGCATGACAATATATATTACACTGCAAGACAATATATATTACACTGCATGACAATATATATTACACTGCAAGACAATATATATTACACTTCATGGCTATATATCACACTGCACGACAATATATATTACACTGCATGACAATATATATTACACTGCATGACAATATATATTACACTGCACGGCTATATATCACACTGCACGACAATATATATTACACTGCACAACAATGTATCACACTGCAGTCAATACATTACACTGCAGTCAATATATGAAACTGCAGGACAATAGGTTACACTGCACAATAGGATTCACCATCAATAGGTTACACCATCGAAAGGTTACACTGTCATTATGTTACAATAGCATTATGTTACATTGCCATTTTTTAACACTGTCAATAGGTTACACGTCAATAGAGAATTATCATTAGGTTACATTGTCAATAGGTTACATTGTCATTAGGTTACACCGTCAATTGGTTACATTGTCATTAGGTTACACCATCAATTGGTTACATTGTCAATTGGTTACACTGTCAATAGGTTACACCATCATTAGGTTACATTGTCATTAGGTTACACTGTCAATAGGTTATATTGTCATTAGGTTACATTAGCAATAGGTTACATCATCAATTGGTTACATTGTCAATGGGTTACATTGTCATTAGGTTACACCATCAATTGGTTACATTGTCATCAAGTTACATTGTCAATAGGTTACACCATCAATTGGTTACACTGTCAATAGGTTACACCTTCATTAGGTTACATTGTCATTAGGTTACACTGTCAATAGGTTATATTGTCATTAGGTTACATTGTCAATAGGTTACATCATCAATTGGTTACATTGTCATCAGGTTACAATATCATTAGGTTACACCATCCATTGGTTACATTGTCATCAGGTTACATTGTCAATAGGTTACACCATCAATTGGTTACACTGTCAATAGGTTAAACCATCATTAGGTTACATTGTCATTAGGTTACACTGTCAACAGGTTATATTGTCATTAAGTTACATTGTCAATAGGTTACATCATCAATTGGTTACATTGTCAATAGGTTACATTGTCATTAGGTTACACCATCAATTGCTTACATTGTCAATAGGTTACATTGTCATTAGGTTACACCATCAATTGCTTACATTGTCATCAGGTTACACTGTCAATTGGTTACACTGTCAATAGGTTACACCATCATTATGTTACATTGTCATTATGTTACATTGTCAATAGTTTACATCATCAAATGGTCACATTGTCATTAGGTAACACCATCATTAGGTTAAACTGTCAATAGGTTACACCATCAATAGGTTACATTGTCATTAGGTTATAATGTCAATAGGTTACATTGTCTTCATGTTACATTGTCATTAGGTTACACCACCAATTGGTTATATTGTAACCATGTTACATATATCCACATATGTTCACACAAACTGTTTAATTAAACGTGTATCTGAAATCTAGGTCATTTCATAGTGACTGGAGACAAGGACTGATGTTTTAACACAATGATGCAAAGCTATGAATACTGTACTTTGTTTGTATCATTTGGTACCTTTACTGTGGCACCTCCACTATATGAATTCCCCATTACTGTTGGCTTCTTGTTTCTCAGTTTGTTGTTTCATGCTGCACTCAGCAATATTCCAGATATGATGGCAGTCTGTACATAATCAATTCTGGACCAGACAATCCAATGATCGATATTTAGCCCAACAATCAAAGCCACCAGAGTATGATGACAAGCAATCCACCCAGTAACTGAGTCCGAACACCCGATCCAGCCACCTTGAAACGACAAGCAAAGGTTGCAGGGGACCAATTCTAATCTGGAAATCAGGACGAGAGTCATAACACCAAACTTACCTTGTCACTGGAACTTGGTCTGTGCTCCAGCATAACTCCCAACAACCGAGTCACATCCAAAACCTCTCCATACACCTAAACAAAAACATATCTACTGTCACTTATGCCCTGAATAGTGAGTGAGTGGTGAGGGTTTAATACTGCTTTGAACAGTTGTATTACGGCATGTCAGTTTGATTCTGGAGGACTGCCTAAAGTAACGTATTCGACGTAATAAGCGCCCAGGTCGCTCTCAAAATAAGAAATAGGGGGCTCTTATTAGAATATTATTTTGGTATAAAAATAAACAGAGTTGAAAGATAAATTTCGTCGTTTATGATGTCAGCCTGAAATGTTTATGTACGACAGATATATTTTTCAAAATCAAATGCCCATAATTAAGGGTGCATATAACACACAAGTGTGTATTATACGCGAATAAATAAGTCTTGTGTACATTGATCAATCGGAAGGGGTGCTAATTGGGATTGTTCACCAGCCAATATCTTAGCAAATGTCGCTGTGGGCGCTTATTAGAGCGGGGCGCTTATTACGTCAAATACGGTAATGCCAATCTCATTCAAATCAGATCTTAGTTCTCGCTACCGCTAAACAAAGATCTGAGGACATCCCATTACGGGCAACATCAGACCTACCTTGCGCGAACTTTTACCGACCAATGAAATGACCAATCAGAAGGCATCTTTCTCGCGCTTTATGGCACTAATTTCAAATTGGCGAGTTAAAGTTTTCGAGGCTGTATGATCAGAAATCACATTCCAACTGTCACTTTCATAATCTGGTAAGCCATGCTCTGATTAGTGGGATGAAAGGTCTTTCTGACGTGACCCTTAATGGGATGTCCTCAGATCTTTGTTTAGCGGTAGCGAGAGCTGAGGTCTGATTTTAAAGAGATTGAAAGTAATGCTGGTCAAATGTTTGCCACTTTGTTGAAACCCACAAACATGGGTATCCTTCTGACAAACAAGGAACATGATCAAGGCGAATCTGAGATTTGGAAACCACAAACATATGCATAGACAAAGTAAGGCTGTCCATATTTTTCGTGTTTCCCATCTCCCGTTGGCCCTGAATTTTCATTTCGGCATGAAATAATAAAAAAAAATCATGTCTCAATTTTCACCGACCACTGTGGAAATTTATGCCCCATAGCACACTTATAAAAGTGTTCGGGCATATTTATTAAGAATTTGTTTTTCCGAAGCAAAGCGACTCAATCTATGTCATTAATTAATTTAAAGACTTGTACCACATGTACCAAGTATTCTAAACTTTAAAATGTCTTAACATATGAAACACAATAAGCGAAAAAGCGTTTTTTAATTTTTATATTCATTAGATAAAAATTAAAAAATAAACATGGTCTAATAATACCCTGAATGTGTAGACAAATAAATTATTGCAGTTTCCGATGGTGAAACAATATCATCAGCGATCCTGTTCTGACAGGACTTAAATTACCTATCTTGATGAACAAGCTTGATACATACCATCTGCAGATGTTGAAATTGTTTATAATCTGTTTGGTTGTTGCTATGGTAACACATCAGACGCCTAGCAACATAGTCATCAATGCATGAAACATGAGCCACCTGAAATTGCAGAAGAAAGAGGCTGAAGCATGACACCAGGTAACCTGAACCCAGTACATCATGTGTGTGCATACTGGAGACTATCAGTTGTCAATAAAAATACCTCAGTGAGTGAGTGAGTGAATATGGTTTTACACCGTTGTAAGCAATATTCCAGCAATATCACGGCGGGGGACACCAGAAATGGGCTTCACACATTGTACCCATGTCTGGAAATGAACCTGGGTCTTCAGCCTGACGAGCAAACGCTTTAACCACTAGGCTACCCGACCCCCCCTAAAAATACCTGAAGTAGTTACTGATGAAACAAGGGCTTGGATGGGTAACTCGGGTACTCGGGTAGTGTGGGTACTGAGAAGAACCCAGGTACCCACAGGAGTACCCAGACCTATGGTTGGTCATGTGATATATTGTTTAATGACAAAAATTATCTAGAAGTATATGGTTACACTACAAGTCACTAACGCTCTCTTGAGGCCTTCAGTGGGTACCCGGGTAGGGTCGGGTAGTAGATGGTTGGGTACCCCGGTAGTTAATTTGGACTCATCCCAGCCCCTGATGAAACCATCAAGCAAATCATGCAACAACTACATGGTCAGTTAGGGTCTGACTGAGTGGTCCTTGTACCAGGACATCTGCCCTTTGGGCTTAACAAAATAACCTAATAGGCTCTCAGGCAATGGTTTTTAAAATTAAAGTGCGGGCAGGCAGTGTCTCTTATTTTTGGTTGATCAATATAGTATCTAAACAAATGAACAATTGTTAACAATCATGTACAATCAACCTAGGAAAGGGCCTCCCTACATATATGTATCCCTTGAAGAGTAAAATACTGGAATACAGTATTTGACTACCAAAGGAATTTTTAAGTTTTTTTATTTTTGTTAAAAATAAAAAAAAACAAATCGTGCGTACAATTTCTATCTTACCAAAGTTACACTGGTTTAATTAATATGAAATCTGAAAATACACTTGTATAAGGCTGCAAACTTCCACCCTTGACTCTTTACCTTGACGCTGAGGCCTACATCTGTATCTCCACCCTCACACCCTAACACAGCAGCAGGTGTCTGCCTGGACTGCTTAACAAGCCCTACCTTGATGTACTTCCTGACACTAGGGGCCCACATCTGTATCTCCACCCTCACACTCTCACAGCAGCAGGTGTCTGCCTGGACTGCTTAACAAGCCCTACCTTGATGTACTTCCTGACACTAGGGGCCCACATCTGTATCTCCACCCTCACACTCTCACAGCAGCAGGTGTCTGCCTGGACTGCTTAACAAGCCCTACCTTGATGTACTTCCTGACACTAGGGGCCCACATCTGTATCTCCACCCTCACACTCTCACAGCAGCAGGTGTCTGCCTGGACAGCTTAACAAGCCCTACCTTGATGTACGTCCTGACACTAGGGGCCCACATCTGTATCTCCACCCTCACACTCTCACAGCAGCAGGTGCCTGCCTGGACTGTTTAACAAGCCCTACCTTGATGTACGTCCTGACACTAGGGCCTACATCTGTATCTCCACCCTCACACCCTAACACAGCAGCAGGTGTCTGCCTGGACTGCTTAACAAGCCCTACCTTGATGAACTTCCTGACACTAGGGGCCCACATCTGTATCTCCACCCTCACACTCTCACAGCAGCAGGTGTCTGCCTGGACTGCTTAACAAGCCCTACCTTGATGTACTTCCTGACACTAGGGGCCCACATCTGTATCTCCACCCTCACACTCTCACAGCAGCAGGTGTCTGCCTGGACTGCTTAACAAGCCCTACCTTGATGTACTTCCTGACACTAGGGGCCCACATCTGTATCTCCACCCTCACACTCTCACAGCAGCAGGTGTCTGCCTGGACAGCTTAACAAGCCCTACCTTGATGTACGTCCTGACACTAGGGGCCCACATCTGTATCTCCACCCTCACACTCTCACAGCAGCAGGTGCCTGCCTGGACTGTTTAACAAGCCCTACCTTGATGTACATCCTGACACTAGGGCCTACATCTGTATCTCCACCCTCACACCCTAACACAGCAGCAGGTGTCTGCCTGGACTGCTTAACAAGCCCTACCTTGATGAACTTCCTGACACTGGGGCCTACATCTGTATCTCCACCCTCACACTCTCACAGCAGCAGGTGTCTGCCTGGACTGCTTAACAAGCCCTACCTTGATGTACGTCCTGACACTGGGGCCTACATCTGTATCTCCACCCTCACACTCTCACAGCAGCAGGTGTCTGCCTGGACTGCTTAACAAGCCCTACCTTGATGTACTTCCTGACACTAGGGGCCCACATCTGTATCTCCACCCTCACACTCTCACAGCAGCAGGTGTCTGCCTGGACAGCTTAACAAGCCCTACCTTGATGTACGTCCTGACACTAGGGGCCCACATCTGTATCTCCACCCTCACACTCTCACAGCAGCAGGTGCCTGCCTGGACTGTTTAACAAGCCCTACCTTGATGTACGTCCTGACACTAGGGCCTACATCTGTATCTCCACCCTCACACCCTAACACAGCAGCAGGTGTCTGCCTGGACTGCTTAACAAGCCCTACCTTGATGAACTTCCTGACACTGGGGCCTACATCTGTATCTCCACCCTCACACTCTCACAGCAGCAGGTGTCTGCCTGGACTGCTTAACAAGCCCTACCTTGATGTACGTCCTGACACTTGGGGCCCACATCTGTATCTCCGCCCTCACACTCTCACAGCAGCAGGTGTCTGCCTGGACTGTTTAACAAGCCCTACCTTGATGTACGTCCTGACACTAGGGCCTACATCTGTATCTCCACCCTCACACCCTAACACAGCAGCAGGTGTCTGCCTGGACTGCTTAACAAGCCCTACCTTGATGAACTTCCTGACACTGGGGCCTACATCTGTATCTCCACCCTCACACTCTCACAGCAGCAGGTGTCTGCCTGGACTGCTTAACAAGCCCTTCCTTGATGTACGTCCTGACACTAGTGCCTACATCTGTATCTCCAACCTCACACTCTCACAGCAGCAGGTGTCTGCCTGGGCTGCTTAACAAGCCCTACCTTGATGAACTTCCTGACACTGGGGCCTACATCTGTATCTCCACCCTCACACTCTCACAGCAGCAGGTGTCTGCCTGGACTGCTTAACAAGCCCTACCTTGATGTACGTCCTGACACTTGGGGCCCACATCTGTATCTCCGCCCTCAGACTCTCACAGCAGCAGGTGTCTGCCTGGACTGCTTAACAAGCCCTACATTGATGTACGTCCTGACACTAGGGGCCAACATCTGTATCTCCACCCTCACACTCTCAGAGCAGCAGGTGTCTGCCTGGACTGCTTAACAAGCCCTACCTTGATGTACTTCCTGACACTAGGGGCCCACATCTGTATCTCCACCCTCACACTCTCACAGCAGCAGGTGTCTGCCTGGACTGCTTAACAAGCCCTACCTTGATGTACTTCCTGACACTAGGGGCCCACATCTGTATCTCCACCCTCACACTCTCAGAGCAGCAGGTGTCTGCCTGGACTGCTTAACAAGCCCTACCTTGATGTACGTCCTGACACTGGGGGCCAACATCTGTATCTCCACCCTCACACTCTCACAGCAGCAGGTGTCTGCCTGGGCTGCTTAACAAGCCCTACCTTGATGTACTTTCTGACACTAGGGGCCCACATCTGTATCTCCACCCTCACACTCTCAGAGCAGCAGGTGTCTGCCTGGACTGCTTAACAAGCCCTACCTTGATGTACGTCCTGACACTGGGGGCCAACATCTGTATCTCCACCCTCACACTCTCACAGCAGCAGGTGTCTGCCTGGACTGCTTAACAAGCCCTACCTTGATGTACTTCCTGACACTGGGGGCCAACATCTGTATCTCCACCCTCACACTCACACAGTAGCAGGTGTCTGCCTGGACTGCTTAACACGCCCTACCTTGATGTACTTCCTGACACTTGGGGCCCACATCTGTATCTCCACCCTCACACTCACACAGTAGCAGGTGTCTGCCTGGACTGCTTAACACGCCCTACCTTGATGTACGTCCTGACACTAGGGGCCAACATCTGTATCTCCACCCTCACACTCTCACAGCAGCAGGTGTCTGCCTGGGCTGCTTAACAAGCCCTACCTTGATGTACGTCCTGACACTAGGGCCAACATCTGTATCTCCACCCTCACACTCTCACAGCAGCAGGTGTCTGCCTGGACTGCTTAACACGCCCTACCTTGATGTACGTCCTGACACTAGGGGCCCACATCTGTATCTCCACCCTCACACTCTCACAGCAGCAGGTGTCTGCCTGGGCTGCTTAACAAGCCCTACCTTGATGTACGTCCTGACACTAGGGCCTACATCTGTATCTCCACCCTCACACTCTCACAGCAGCAGGTGTCTGCCTGGACTGCTTAACAAGCCCTACCTTGATGTACGTCCTGACACTGGGGCCCACATCTGTATCTCCACCCTCACACTCTCACAGCAGCAGGTGTCTGCCTGGGCTGCTTAACAAGCCCTACCTTGATGTACGTCCTGACACTAGGGGCCCACATCTGTATCTCCACCCTCACACTCTCACAGCAGCAGGTGTCTGCCTTGACTGCTTAACAAGCCCTACCTTGATGTACTTCCTGACACTAGGGGCCCACATCTGTATCTCCACCCTCACACTCTCACAGCAGCAGGTGTCTGCCTGGACTGCTTAACAAGCCCTACCTTGATGTACTTCCTGACACTAGGGGCCAACATCTGTATCTCCACCCACACAGCAGCAGGTGTCTGCCTGTACTGCTCAACAAGCCCTACCTTGATGTACGTCCTGACACTAGGGGCCCACATCTGTATCTCCACCCTCAGACTCTCACACAGCAGCAGGTCCCTGCCCGGAATCACCACAAGCCTGAAAGTGACAGGGTTAAACATATCAAATCACTGAAACTATGTTTCTAAAACAGCAGGGCCTTTGCTCCAAGAACTACATGTAATGTTTCAAGCAAAGGATGATGTAGGTCATAGGTACTTTTAGGCCAAGTGGAAATGTCCATAGTAATGTCACCAAACACTGAGAAATGTTTCATGCAAATTATCCTCCTTCTTCATTCATGGCCAGGTACAGCTTGTGGTCCATCTGCCCGACTAGAGCTATGATCTTCAACTCCATGACACTCACCTCATGGCCAGGTACAGCTTGTGGTCCATCTGCCTGACTAGAGTTAAGATCTTCAACTCAATGACAGTCACCTCATGGCTAGATTAAGTTTGTGGTACATCTGCCTGACTAGAGCTGTGATCTTGAACTCCATGACACTCACCCCATGGCTAGATTTAGTTTGGCCAGACTGGAGCTATGATCTTCAACTCCATGACACTCACCTCATGGCCAGGTACAGCTTGTGGTCCATCTGCCTGACTAGAGTTGTGATCTTCAACTCAATGACACTCACCTCATGGCTAGATTAAGTTTGTGGTACATCTGCCTGACTAGAGCTGTGATCTTGAACTCCATGACACTCACCCCATGGCTAGATTTAGTTTGTGGAACATCGGCCAGACTGGAGCTATGATCTTCAACTCCATGACACTCACCTCATGGCCAGGTACAGCTTGTGGTCCATCTGCCTGACTAGAGCTGTGATCTTGAACTCCATGACACTCACCTCATGGCTAGATTTAGTTTGTGGCACATCTGCCTGACTAGAGCTGTGATCTTCAACTCCATGACACTCACCTCATGGCTAGATTTAGTTTGTGGTCCATCTGCCTGACTAGAGTTGTGATCTTCAACTCCATGACACTCACCTCATGGCTAGATTAAGTTTGTGGTACATCTGCCAGACTAGAGCTAAGATCTTGAACTCCATGACATACTCACCCCATGGCTAGATTTAGTTTGTGGAACATCGGCCAGACTGGAGCTATGATCTTCAACTCCATGACACTCACCTCATGGCTAGATTTAGTTTGTGGCACATCTGCCTGACTAGAGCTGTGATCTTGAACTCCATGACACTCACCCCATGGCTAGATTTAGTTTGTGGAACATCGGCCAGACTGGAGCTATGATCTTCAACTCCATGACACTCACCTCATGGCCAGGTACAGCTTGTGGTCCATCTGCCTGACTAGAGCTGTGATCTTGAACTCCATGACACTCACCTCATGGCTAGATTTAGTTTGGCCAGACTAGAGCTGTGATCTTGAACTCCATGACATACTCACATCATGGCTAGATTTAGTTTGTGGCACATCTGCCTGACTAGAGCTGTGATCTTCAACTCCATGACACTCACCTCATGGCTAGATTTAGTTTGTGGCACATCTGCCTGACTAGAGCTGTGATCTTCAACTCCATGACACTCACCTCATGGCTAGATTTAGTTTGTGGCACATCTGCCTGACTAGAGCTGTGATCTTCAACTCCATGACACTCACCTCATGGCTAGATTTAGTTTGTGGCACATCTGCCTGACTAGAGCTGTGATCTTGAACTCCATGACACTCACCTCATGGCTAGATTTAGTTTGTGGCACATCTGCCTGACTAGAGCTGTGATCTTCAACTCCATGACACTCACCTCATGGCTAGATTTAGTTTGTGGCACATCTGCCTGACTAGAGCTGTGATCTTCAACTCCATGACACTCACCTCATGGCTAGATTTAGTTTGTGGCACATCTGCCTGACTAGAGCTGTGATCTTCAACTCCATGACACTCACCTCATGGCTAGATTTAGTTTGTGGCACATCTGCCTGACTAGAGCTGTGATCTTCAACTCCATGACACTCACCTCATGGCTAGATTTAGTTTGTGGCACATCTGCCTGACTAGAGCTGTGATCTTCAACTCCATGACACTCACCTCATGGCTAGATTTAGTTTGTGGCACATCTGCCTGACTAGAGCTGTGATCTTCAACTCCATGACACTCACCTCATGGCTAGATTTAGTTTGTGGCACATCTGCCTGACTAGAGCTGTGATCTTCAACTCCATGACACTCACCTCATGGCTAGATTTAGTTTGTGGCACATCTGCCTGACTAGAGCTGTGATCTTCAACTCCATGACACTCACCTCATGGCTAGATTTAGTTTGTGGTACATCTTCCAGACTAGAGCTGTGATCTTGTTGAATTCCATAACACAGGACACTCGGTCAGAGCAGGAAGACAGAACCACAGTCTGGAATTAGGAACCGGTGGTCAGGCAGGTATGGGCAACCACTCATGGGAACTATTTTCATGACATGGAAAAGTGTAACAGGGGCTGGTTCAGGCAGACAGTGAGAACATCAACCTATGCTGCTGGTATATCACAGCATTCATGTATGGCCAGACTAGTCTTGGTTTACAGATTTGTTCTGACAAAGCCTGGTCAGTAGGCAGACATTTCCTTTCATAAAATATAAAGGATGAAGCCATCACATTCTATGCACAAAACACCACATTCCCCGCTCCACACACCACACCATGCTCTACACACCACACCTTGCTCTACACTCCACACCATGCTTCACACTCCACACCATGCTTCACACTCCACACCATGCTCCACACTCCACACCATGCTCCACACACCACACCATGCTCTACACACCACACCATGCTCTACACACCACACCATGCTCTACACTCCACACCATGCTCCACACTCCACACCATGCTCCACACACCACACCATGCTCTACACACCACACCATGCTCCACACACCACACCATGCTCTACACTCCACACCATGCTCCACACACCACACCATGCTCTACACACCACACCATGCTCCACACACCACACCATGCTCTACACTCCACACCATGCTCCACACTCCACACCATGCTCCACACACCACACCATGCTCTACACACCACACCATGCTCCACACACCACACCTTGCTCTACACACCACACCATGCTCTACACACCACACCATGCTCTACACACCACACCATGCTCTACACTCCACACCATGCTCCACACTCCACACCATGCTCCACACACCACACCATGCTCTACACACCACACCATGCTCCACACACCACACCATGCTCTACACTCCACACCATGCTCTACACTCCACACCATGCTCCACACACCACACCATGCTCTACACACCACACCATGCTCCACACACCACACCATGCTCCACACTCCACACCATGCTCCACACACCACACCATGCTCTACACACAACACCATCCTCTACACACCACACCATGCTCTACACACCACACCATGCTCCACACACCACACCATGCTCTACACTCCCTACACAAACACTCCCCCAAAATCCTGCTCACTAAATGGTTTGTAGACTGAATCAGGGAAAAAGGTATTGTACACGTAACATAAAAATCAAGTATTATAATCATGAAGTTAAGAAATATATCTTGAACAAGGTTTTCTTGAGAACAGTTTCATCAGATGTGTACCTTCATTGACTGTGTGACTCCAAACAAGCCAGGCAAGTCAGGCTCACTCTCTGCAATGAGAGAAAAGATTTTAACACTGACTTCAGGACAAACTGAAACATATCCTGTGAGATGACACACATCACACATGTACGAGTGAGTTAGTGAGTGAGTGAGTGAGTGAGTGAGTGAGTGAGTGAGTGAGTGAGTGAGTGAGTGAGTGAGTGAGTGAGTGAGTGAGTGAGTGAGTGAGTGAGTGACTCAAACCAATCATCATGGGATCATGGCATGCCCAAGGGGCACAACTCTGCACAATAAATGTACCATCTTAAAGTAGCCAAGTCACAGAATGGAAAAAAGGTCTGTTATAGGAGGGTCCTGATGGGGGAGGTCACAAGTCAGTAGTCAGTCAAATTTGGAGCCATTATGGCATAATATGGGGGCTGCCTCGGTTGCCTACTGCAAAGCCCTGGGGTCGTGGTGCCCTGGGTTGTGTGACACCCTGGTGTCTTAGGGACCTGAACTTTTGTATCAGTAAGTGGGACGGATATACAGGTCCTGGGGTCCAATGACCTGGATGATCTCTAGAGATCGTATTGATCAAAACAGTAATGGGGTGGCTGACATGTTATCGATGTGACTTACATATGCACGAGCAAGTACTGTTGTTCTTGCAAAAACTAAAATATTAAATATTAGCCTGTGGATCTTGCCATAGGACATTGTGACATGATTGTAAACTTTGTGGTGCAGGCCCCCTTTCCCCCGATTGTAGAGCAACAGTATGAAAGTTGCGATAACCTTTGCGCTACAATAACTTTGTGAAACGGACGCCTTATCTCTAAAGGTGAGCTGTTGTATGGTATTAAATTAATAAGTATATTATAAACTTTTGACGTGTTTGAAGTATTATTCTGTTAAACTCAATTGGAGTAAGCTGTGGATCGCGTGGATGTCTGCCTATTTACACACAACAGTAATTTGTTTTTTATATAAACAGCAGACATTGATATACAGGTTATAGTGCACACACCTACTTCATACAACTATCAAACTCTAAAGTGACTTACAATAGCATATGATGGCTTCACAATGGTCTACCCGTGAGGATCCCGGGTTAGAAGTGGAACCCCAGCAGCCTATGCTTGTCACAAGAGGCAACATAATGGATCGGTGGGGATCATTGCTCATAATATCAATATCTGGATTGTCTGGTTGGACCTGATTATTGTATAGATGGAGTAGTGAGTGAGTGAGTATAGTTTTACGTCACTTTTAACAATATACCAGCAATATCATCGCAGGGGACACCAGAATTGGGCTTCACACTTTGTACCCATGAGGGGGTTGAACCTGGATCTTCAGCGTGAGGAGTGAACGCTTTAACCTCGAGGCTACCCCACCGTCCCTTTATAGCTGGAGTAAGTGAGTGAGTTTGGTTTTACCCCGCTTTTAGCAATATTCCAGCAATATCACGGCTGGGGACACCAGAAATGGGTTTCACACGTTGCCCCATGAGGGGGGTGAACCCGGGTCTTCAGCATGAGGAGTGAATGCTTTAACCACGAGGCTACCCCACCGTCCCTTCATAGCTGGAGTAATGTTGAGTGAAGCAGTTAACAGACATGAGACAACCATCCTACCTGGTAGATACTGTCTCCCAACTGCCACCTGTCTGTATGGCAGACATGATGTCTGCACAACCGTCTTCGCCAGGTAACCTGGCAAACACACATCGTAACAAGTTTAAAACTTTCTCATTTTTTTTATTTTTTTTTGGCATATTCTAAGAGTTCTTCATCTAAGCTTTCACTAAAAAAACAGTCATAAATGATTTAACTCTTCATAACCCGTTCTCATTTTCTTATTCTCAAACACACATTCTTAAATATTTGTTCTATGAGGCCACATTAATTCAATGTCACATTAGTTCTATGAGGTCATATTAATTCTATGATGTCACATTTCTCCTGTAAAAATTTGGGTAAGAATTAGTCTCCAGAAACCCCTGCTTCCCGTAAGCGGCAACTAACAGGGTTGGGTTGTCCGGCTTGGTGCATTTCATTGTATCCCGGTTGTGTAAATCAGTGCTCATGATGTCAACCACTGAGAACTGTGATCAAGACTTGATTATTTACAACACAGAACGAATATGACATCATTGAACTAAGGACATCAAAGAAAAAATGTGACAGCATATAACAAATGTGACATCATTTCTTGATTGTTTCTGCACATAACGAAAGCAATACCTAAACGTTGGGATTTGCAAGAATGATAGCTTGTTATTAAGTTTGTTCAGCATCACAGAAAATACACAGCGACCCACCATCTTTGTCATGTGAACAGCATGATACAGTTGAAACACATCAATTACAAAAGATTAACTGGTTAAAAACAGACAAGCAGCCATTTTGGACAGGGTGAGATGTGTGACTGACCAGCGAATGACAAGAGTGATGTCCCCTGGATGTGCAGGAAGTCATCCAGTCGCAGGTTGCCAGTGGCATCCCTGTCATCCTTGTCAAGTAGACTGAAAATCTGTGAACAAAAACATATCCTGAATTGTATTACCCATAGAAACAATGACAGACATCTTGGACAGCTAATCAGAGTCGATAAAATCTCCAACAGAAACAAAGAAAAAGAATTTTTGACAAAGGATAAAAACTTCTTTATTTACTGAAAAGGCGACATTTCAGTATAGATCCTTCTACCATTGTCTAACCCTTGCTTGACAATGGTATAAGGATCTCTATCGAAACTTCATCTCCTAACATGAATATCTTCGGAGTCAGATATTGTCACTTTTAGGTAACCAAAGGGTGAGGGGTAGAAAAATTTAGGTCATCAATCATAGATCTAAGTCGCCTTTGGCCACCAAAATGGTCGCTACTTAGAGGGATGTGCCTAGTCCATAAGAGGGAACATGTCATGAAGGCTTCGTGTTAAGATTTCTGACTTGATCTCACAACACATTGTACCCACCTGAGTCTTGTCTTTATAGTCAATCCCACACCCTTCCTGTAGAAAAAAAGAAAATCTGCCGAACAAGATCAACTTAAATATCAATAATAACAGGAGCAATGAATGGTTCCTAATACGATGTCGGGGCTTTATTTGTTATTTACTTGAAATATATTCTCTTGAACACACAATATCATTTGTGTTTCATTTTGAATCTCTCAATACAGACAGACAGACAGACAGACACAGACACAGACACAGACACAGACACACACACACACACACACACACACACACACACACACACACAAATATTTCTTTGGCACCAGAACATGGATTTAACCCAACGGTAAATGTTTAACATGTTTACGATCTGGATCTCATCATGTTTTCCTTCCACATATAGCTGACACACAGTGATATAACTGGAATACAGTTTAAAGCAACAAAAAAAAACACTCACTCATACTATCTATCGACACCACAAACCAATGACAAAGTTTGTTTTCTTTGTAGTTTAATGCTGAACTAAGCAATATTTCGGCTATATGACTGAGGTCTGTAAATAATCAAGTCTGGGCCCGGAAAATCCAGCGATTGATATAATGAGCAATGATCCAAGGCATCATGGTACGATGCAACATTATCAACCAAGTCAACAAGCCAGACCAACCGGTCCACTCAGTCACCCCTTACAACAAGCATAGGTTGTTGGAGACCATTTCTAACCCATGGAGGACCAATACAGGCATATCTGAATCTGTGTGATGATTTGTTATGATTTTTCTACATTTCTTACAATATTCAGTAATAGTAATGATGTCGAACTTACCGCAACTAACGACCGGAATATTTCTGGACATGCCAGCTGATGGAAGTGGTTGTTGGTGAGGTGGTGTGACACGGAGTGCAACAGAGACTGTTCATGTGAAGCCAGCTGGCCCAGCAAGTAGTAAGCCTTCGGTCCTACACAGCTGCAACATGAATAGGATGTTCTCATTACAGCTGCACAGGGAGAGAATGTTATCATTACAGCTGCACAGGGAGAGGATGTTATCATTATAGCTGCACAGGGATAGGATGTTATCATTACAGCTGCACAGGGAGAGGATGTTATCATTATAGCTGCACAGGGAGAGGATGTTATCACTACAGCTACTCACAGGGAGAGGATGTTATCATTACAGCTACTCACAGGGAGAGAATGTTATCACTACAACTGCACACAGGGAGAGAATGTTATCACTACAGCTACACACAGGAGAGGATGTTATCATTACAGCTGCACAGGGAGAGAATGTTATCACTACAGCTACTCACAGGGAGAGGATGTTATCATTACAGCTACTCACAGGGAGAGAATGTTATCACTACAGCTACACACAGGAGAGGATGTTATCATTACAGCTGCACAGGGAGAGGATGTTATCACTACAGCTACTCACAGGGAGAGGATGTTATCATTACAGCTACTCACAGGGAGAGAATGTTATCACTACAGCTACACACAGGAGAGGATGTTATCACTACAGCTACACACAGGGAGAGAATGTTATCATTATAGCTGCACAGGGAGAGGATGTTATCACTACAACTGCACACAGGAGAGGATGTTATCATTACAGCTGCACAGGGAGCGGATGTTATCACTACAGCTACTCACAGAGAGAGAATGTTATCACTACAACTGCACACAGGAGAGGATGTTATCATTACAGCTGCACGGGGAGAGGATGTTATGACTACAGCTACACACAGGGAGAGGATGTTATCACTACAGCTACTCACAGGGAGAGAATGTTATCACTACAACTGCACACAGGAGAGGATGTTATCATTACAGCTGCACAGGAAGAGGATGTTATCACTGCAGCTACTCACAGGGAGAGAATGTTATCACTACAACTGCACACAGGGAGAGAATGTTATCACTACAGCTACACACAGGAGAGGATGTTATCATTACAGCTGCACAGGGAGAGAATGTTATCACTGCAGCTACTCACAGGGAGAGGATGTTATCATTACAGCTACTCACAGGGAGAGAATGTTATCACTACAGCTACACACAGGAGAGGATGTTATCATTACAGCTGCACAGGGAGAGGATGTTATTACTACAGCTACACACAGGGAGAGAATGTTATCATTATAGCTGCACAGGGAGAGGATGTTATCATTACAACTGCACACAGGAGAGGATGTTATCATTACAGCTGCACAGGGAGAGGATGTTATCACTACAGCTACTCACAGGGAGAGAATGTTATCACTACAACTGCACACAGGAGAGGATGTTATCATTACAGCTGCACAGGGAGAGGATGTTATGACTACAGCTACACACAGGGAGAGGATGTTATCACTACAGCTACTCACATGGAGAGAATGTTATCACTACAACTTCACACAGGAGAGGATGTTATCATTACAGCTGCACAGGGAGAGGATGTTATCACTACAGCTACTCACAGGGAGAGAATGTTATCACTACAACTGCACACAGGGAGAGGATGTTATCACTACAGCTGCACAGGGAGAGGATGTTATCACTACAGCTGCACATGGAGAGGATTTTATCACTACAGCTACACAGGGAAAGGATGTTATCACTACAGCTACACAAGGAGAGGATGTTATCACTACAGCTACTCACAGGGAGAGGATGTTATCACTACAGCTGCACAGGGAGAGGACGTTATCACTACAGCTACAAAGGGAGAGGATGTTATCACTACAGCTACACAGGGAGAGGATGTTATCACTAAAGCTACACAGGGAGAGAATGTTATCACCACATCGTCTTTCAAAGACAAAGTTGGACAGTTAAATAGCAAGTAGCTATGCCACTATGCCACATGCAGTCAAATTCATACCGGAACTACCAGAAGCAAAGGCAGTCATCCTAACAGACTCGTCAAGTGCACTTCAAGCCATCAGCAGCAGAAACTCAGGCCAAACACAGTCAATAATATTCTACACGACTTGACTAAACTATCGGACGGAGGGCAACAGATGGAGCTGTGTTGGATCCCTCCTCACATAGATATTCATTGAAATGAAAAAGCAGACACATTGGCGAAGCTAGCTCTAGACAAAGCGGAGATATAGCCTATTCCCTTTAGTAAACTGGAGATAAAAAGAAAAATTAAAGCTCCATAGCCCAAAGATGGCAAGCTGAGTGGAATGCAAGTAAGATCGGCACATGGCAGCACAAAATTCAACCTAGATCCTCCAAAAGCCATACTCATATTCACGTGAAAGGAAAGTTGAAATTGCCATCTCACGATTTCGGTCACAAAAAGCCCTAAGACAAGGTTTGTCCATCTTGCAATCAACCATGGCTCACTTGCTACTGGACTGTCAACACTATGCCCCTTCCCAGGCCTGGTTAAAACAAGAATTGCAGCTAGATCCACTATCTGTAGTAGATCTCCTAAAGCCAAGAGATGCAATAGCGAAGGCCAAACCAACTCTATTTCTGAGAGTGACAGCTACTCAAACGTATATAAACAGAGTAGCCAAAGATAAAAATGAAATTAATCTATATACGAAAATAGAAATCTAATCAATACAAAAACAGAAATTTTATGAATACCAAAACTCACAAAAGATATGTGTACCCTACTCACACACACAAGTCCCAAAGAGGGACAGGTCAGCCGAAATCGCTCAGGCAGAAGGTGACCTCTTGAACACTTAAAGCAACAACAACCACAATAATCTGCTAATCTGAAAAATACTTGCCAGGATTGCCACCAACATTTATGTTTACAAATAGGAATGAACTAAGTCAATTTATAAATATACTATGCATGTAATACAGACCTTACTCAAAGTTATGTTTGGGTGTCCATATTCGAAGACCATACTGTAAATACGCTTACCTAAACCTCACTAAATCTTTCTCTCTCACTACTTCCAGGTGACTTCTTGCCTCAGACATATCTGGAAGGAATGTTTAAATTCTTTAAGGCGTCATTTTTTTATTACTTGGTTTACGGATGCGTCACTCTTTCAGTCCAAATGTTGAAAAAAATAAAAATAAAAATTACTACTTTTTTATTACCGCCGATCGTTACTTTAAAAAATGCATAAAAAGTTCAACAAAAAAAGAGATTTCATTCGCTCTTCGAGTGTAAAGCAAAAGGAAGTCACTCTGATATTTCTCACTGGGTTCCATCAAAGCTTGTCAACGCAATGTTCTTTAAAAATATAGGTTTTCAGGCGTGCCTTAAGGACACAACTCTGCCTAATGAGTTGAGGCATCTGAGCCACCCATGCCTCCTCGTAGTCTAAGTACAGTCAAGTCCCGTTAATACTACATGGTTGGTTGTATATGATTATGTCGGATTAACAACTGTCGGATTAACGACATTGACTGTATGTCCTTTCACGATTTAGATAATTACATCTCTTATATCTTCTTTAGCACTAGATGGTTTTCTGAGTACATGTATATTATTTCAGCTGTTAAAAGAAGCAAACCTGAAACTGCTTCACAATTTGCATAATTACAAGTAATCCTGACTGGTGAATCTCTAAAAAATGGCTTATCGGAACCCAACGCTCAGCAGTATAGGGACAGGAGCCTACCTGGTATTTCCCCATGGGACTCAAGCACAAGAACTTCCTCTTCTGGCTGAAAAGGAACCAGTTATAAACAACATAGGATGTTCATGAATCGCCTCTTCTCAGCAAAACATTTTCACAGCAGGGTTCAAAATTTCATTCACTGCAGAGATAACAAATTTTGTAGGATATAATATCATTTTTTTTTTATTTGCTTTTCCTCAACAACATATCTGTATCTCCCTGCTTACAATTTGTGTGGATTGACGTCACACTGTTTAGTTATATTTCAAAATTACATGTTTAAAAGTCAGCCGCGATTCGCTGTGTAGTGTTGCGTCCTTTGGGCACGGCAGTAACCTATAATTGTGGGTTCGAAATCCCGGTTCCCCCGATTATGTTTGTAGGTTTGTCAGCACCATACCCATGCTTGTGTGTTTCACCAAAGTGGTAAACGTCTGAGACCTGCATCACTTAATGCTTTCCTCCCACATTAAGCTGACATGCCGCGATATAACTGGAATACTGTTAAAAGTGGCGTTAAAGCCAACTCACTCGTTGCGCGAATTGATTGGACTTTGCACAGACTCGTTAGCACAGCCTAAATGTAACTCCATAATACCAGCCTAGGATGGAAACTGGACTTTTATAGTCAGTTAACTCTCTTGCATCAGGAAGATGGTTTTATATAGCAAAATCAAGCCCTGCTCATGGTCTGATGCAGGCTACTCACAGTCTGGGCCCGGATGTTGTTGGGAAGTCCGAGACCTGCCAGCATCACTCTCTCCTCCCACACCCACCAGCTTCTCTGTCAACATGAAACATAGGTTGTCCACAACAGCCAGATGATCACATCTACTGGATGCATATACTCAGCCAGATGATCACGTCTACCGGATGCATATACTCAGCCAGATGATCACATCTACTGGATGCATATACTCAGCCAGATGATCAAATCTACCGGATGCATATACACAACCAGATGATCACGTCTACTAGATGCATATACACAACCAGATGATCACATCTACCGGATGAATATACACAGCCAGATGATCACATCTACTGGATGCATGTACAGAGCTAGATGATCACATTTACCAGATGCATATACACAGCTAAATGATCACATCTACCGGATGCATATACACATCCAGATGATCAAATCTACCGGATGCATATACACATCCAGATGATCAAATCTACCAGATGTACATACACAGCTAAATGATCACATCTACTGGATGCACATACACAGCTAAATGATCACATTTACCAGATGCATATACACAGCTAAATGATCACAACTACCAGATGCATATACATAGCCAGATGATCACATCTACCGGATGCATATACACAGCTAGATGATCACATCTACCAGATGCATATACACAGCTAGATGATCACATCTACCAGATGCATATACTCAGCTAGATGATCACATTTACCGGATGCATATACACAGCTAGATGATCACATCTACCCGATGCATATACACAGCCAGATGATCACATCTACCAGATGCATATACACAGCCAGATGATCAAATCTACCGGATGCATATACACATCCAGATGATCACATCTACCCGATGCATATACACAGCCAGATGATCACATCTACCGGATGCATATACACAGCCAGATGATCAAATCTACCGGATGCATATACACAGCCAGATGATCACATCTACCAGATGCATATACACAGCCAGATGATCAAATCTACCGGATGCATATACACATCCAGATGATCAAATCTACCGGATGCATATACACATCCAGATGATCACATCTACCGGATGCATATACACAGCCAGATGATCACATTTACCAGATGCATATACACAGCCAGATGATCACATCTACCGGATGCATATACACAGCTAGATGATCACATCTACCGTATACATATACACAGCCAGATGATCACATCTACCGGATGCATATACACAGCCAGATGATCACATCTACCGGATGTATATACACAGCCAGATGATCACATTTACCGGATGCATATACACAACTAAATGATCACATCTACCGGATGCATATACACAGCTAGATGATCTCATTTACCAGATGCATATACACAGCCAGATGATCACATCTACCGGATGTATATACACAGCCAGATGATCACATCTACCGGATGTATATACACAGCCAGATGATCACATCTACCGGATGCATATACACAGCCAGATGATCACATCTACCGGATGTATATACACAGCCAGATGATCACATCTACCGGATGCATATACACAACTAAATGATCACATCTACCGGATGCATATACACAGCTAGATGATCACATTTACCAGATGCATATACACAGCCAGATGATCACATCTACCGGATGCATATACACAGCCAGATGATCACATCTACCGGATGCATATACACAGCCAGATGATCACATTTACCGGATGCATATACACAGCCAGATGATCACATTTACCAGATGCATATACACAGCCAGATGATCACATCTACCGGATGCATATACACATCCAGATGATCAAATCTACCGGATGCATATACACAGATAAATGATCACATCTACCGGATGCACATACACAGCTAAATGATCACATCTACCCGATGCATATACATAGCCAGATGATCACATCTCCGGATGCATATACACAGCTAAATGATCACAACTACCAGATGCATATACATAGCCAGATGATCACATCTCCGGATGCACATACACAGCTAAATGATCACATCTACCCGATGCATATACATAGCCAGATGATCACATCTCCGGATGCACATACACAGCTAAATGATCACATCTACCCGATGCATATACACAGCCAGATGATCACATCTCCGGATGCACATACACAGCTAAATGATCACATCTACCCGATACATATACACAGCCAGATGATCAAATCTACCAGATGCATATACACAGCTAGATGATCACAACTACCAGATGCATATACACAGCTAGATGATCACAACTACCAGATGCATATACACAGCTAGATGATCACAACTACCAGATGCATATACACAGCTAGATGATCACAACTACCAGATGCATATACACAGCTAGATGATCACAACTACCAGATGCATATACACAGCCAGATGATCACAACTACCAGATGCATATACACAGCTAGATGATCACAACTACCAGATGCATATACACAGCCAGATGATCACAACTACCAGATGCATATACACAGCTAGATGATCACAACTACCAGATGCATATACACAGCCAGATGATCACATCTACCGGATGCATATACACAGCTAGATGATCACATCTACCAGATGCATATACACAGCTAGATGATCACAACTACCAGATGCATATACACAGCCAGATGATCACATCTACCGGATGCATATACACAGCCAGATGATCACAACTACCAGATGCATATACACAGCCAGATGATCACAACTACCAGATGCTTTTACACAGCCAGTTGATCAAATCTACCGGATGCATATACATAGCCAGATGATCACATTTACCAGATGCATATACACAGCCAGATGATCACATCTACCGGATGCATATACACAGCCAGATGATCACATTTACCAGATGCATATACACAGCCAGATGATCAAATCTACCGGATGCATATACATAGCCAGATGATCACATTTACCAGATGCATATACACAGCCAGATGATCACATCTACCGGATGCATATACACAGCTAGATGATCACATCTACCGTATACATATACACAGCCAGATGATCAGATTTACCAGATGCATATACACAGCCAGATGATCAAATCTACCAGATGTACATACACAGCTAAATGATCACATCTACTGGATGCACATACACAGCTAAATGATCACATTTACCAGATGCATATACACAGCTAAATGATCACAACTACCAGATGCATATACATAGCCAGATGATCACATCTACCGGATGCATATACACAGCTAGATGATCACATCTACCAGATGCATATACACAGCTAGATGATCACATCTACCAGATGCATATACTCAGCTAGATGATCACATTTACCGGATGCATATACACAGCTAGATGATCACATCTACCAGATGCATATACACAGCTAGATGATCACATCTACCAGATGCATATACACAGCTAGATGATCACATCTACCGGATGCATAATCACAGCCAGATGATCACATTTACCGGATGCATATACACAGCTAAATGATCACATCTACCGGATGCATATACACAACTAAATGATCACATCTACCGGATGCATATACACAGCCATATACACACCCCTCTGGCGGATTCAGTATTTTGGGGGGAAAAAAAGATTACCTTGTGTATTTTCAGAAATCAGCTGTACACACATTTTCTTGGAATCTTCCGGTGATTCGGTCAAGACACACCCAATGATACAACTTTACAGGATTTTAATGCAAGGATCGGGGGAAAATTGACCATTCACCATGGAGGCCCCCGCGCAGGTGATCGCGAGAACTACGTGTTGACATAGAATTGTCAAACAATAACAAATATGACTTTTAACGAATCAAAGTATGGCATTTATGATATATGTATCCTGTCTCTGTCAACTAAAGTTCGTTTCAAGGCGTCAATAGCGGTAATCTGACCGTGGTTGCTGTTAATAACGGTGAGTTGTGTGATCGCTTCACACATGACTACTCTGAAACTAATTAAAACAATATTAAAAGGAATTTTGAACACATGCTCACGGTAATGACTTGGTGTTGGGGGAAAAAACATCAAAACTCATTATGTCGTGTATAATGCACACCCCCTTCTACCATGTGTTCTACACAGCTGTGTTTTTTCGAAAAAAGTGTGCACTATACTCAAGAAAATACTGTAGATGATCACATCAATCCCCTGCCTGTACACAACAGCTAGATGGTAGTCAACATCCATATCGTCAGTGCACAATGACACACAATCAACCATGACACAGAACCCCACCACCCAATTCAGTTAGTTGCAACATACAAGCATAAGTTTGTTTGCTTGTTTGTTTGTTGTTTTACAACGCACTCAGCAATATTCCAGCTATATGACGGCAGTCTGTAAATAATCGAGTCTGGACAAACAATCCAGTGATTGACATCATGAGCATCGATCCAAGCAATTGGGATACAATGACATGCATCAACCAAGTCAGCGAGCCTGACCACTCAATCCCATTAGTTGCTTCTTACGACAAGCAACAAGCATAGGTGGCTGGGGACCTAGTCTAAGCTGGACTCCCCACGGGGGTACACCCGACACCTGGTGGTTTTACCTGTAGTTCTTTCAGTGCTTCTTTCACCCTCTTGCCCCGGGATGTCAACAGTTCTCTGGTGTCCAGCACATCCTCCTCCTTGTCCTGGAGTGAAACTAACAGTCTGCATGTATCCTTCTTAAATGTCAATAGAATGCCTGATATCTTGTGTGTATAAAGGGGCGGTCGGGTAGCCTAGTGGTTAAAGCGTTCGCTCGTCACGCCGAAGACCCGGGTTCGATTCCCGACATGGGTACAATGTGTAAAGCCCATTTCTGGTGTCCCCCGCCATGATATTGCTGGAATATTGCTAAAAGCGGCATAAAACCATAGTCACTCACTCATTCAGTGTGTGTATAAAACAGTACGTCTGAACAACTGAACATGTCTTCTTTTTGTGATTAAGAAATATTTTTAAGAAACTGCATAGATCTAAATCCTGCTGTAAAGGTTACAAATACTTTATTATCTATTATATGTTTGTTTGTTGTTTAACGCCTCACTTCACAATATTCCAGTTGTAAGACTTCAGTCTGTCAATAATCTAGCCTGGAGCAGACAATCCAGTGGTTGACATCATGAGCATGAGTATCGATCCACACAATTGGGATACAATGACATGCATCAACCAAGTCAGCGAGCTTGACCACCAGATACCGTTTGTCATCTCTTACGACAAGCATAGTCGCCTTTTACAGCAAGCATGGGTTGCTGAAGACCTATTCTACCCCGGATCTTCATGGGTCAATCTATTATGTGAAACTAGAGTAAGCCAGTACCTTGCTTTTCTTCAGGTCAGCCATCTTCTTTGCAATCTCTTCTCTCTCTCTCTCCAGCCTCTGTTTCTCCTTCTCAAGCCTCTTCATCAACCTGAAGTCTTCTATCTGTAAAGGTGAGGTGAGGCTAATGTTAAGTTCAAGATAATTGCTCTTATAGCAATGTGCATGCATGTGTCTGTGCATGTTTGTGTGCATGTGCTTGTACCAGCCCAGACTAAAGCTGGTATCATAGAGCTTGCCCACTGAAATACCTTGCCACAGTTTAACATGGATGCCCTACTCAGACACAGTATACTGACTACGAGCCGTGCAGTCCTTGTTTTAGCCCCTTAATGCCGAGCGCCAGGCAGGGAAGCAACAAGTACCATCATTTAACATCTTTTGGTATGACGCTGATGGGAATTGAACCACCAACCTTCCCTTTCCCGGGCAGACTCTCTATTCACTAGACCACTGAGGCAGTCTGTAGCTGTCTAGCACGGCAACACCTTCCATTTGTTTGCAATACTCAGCAACTCATGCACAAACATAGATGATGCTGTCAGGCAGACAGCATACAAGTCACATGGCCAGATATTGTGTTTTCCAGTGCAGGGATTTATGTACTCCGAGGCCCAACCCAATATTCCGACACTCCACCCTTACATTCTCAGTCAAGACCAAAGTGGAGGTTTTTATCCAACTTATAAACCGTCTAAATGCAAGAAATACCAGCATGAATAAAAAGACATCGGAATGCCTTATAGTGAAACAATACAGTGCTTTACAGTTTAAAAGCCATGGCTGAATAAAAACTTTTTATCAGCAAGTACATGCTTGCTTCGCTTATCAAACAATAGCATCTGAAGCCAAAATCTAATATTTCCTAAATATCATGAATGAATTGCAGATTCCCATGATTACGGTTTCAGTATTCACTTGATATCACACGGAATTATTGTAAAAATGAGTGTGTCCGTATTAATGCCACACTGATCAGTATTTCAGGTGCATCACACCATGAGGCAAGTCATGGACACTTGCCACTTACTACTGGTATAGATGGTGCTGTCATATACATGAGGCAAGTCATGGACACTTGCCACTTACTATTGGTATAGATGGTGCAGTCATATACATTACAGGTTCATAATCAGTGCTAATCAGGCATCTAAACCAACATGGAGAGGATCCTGGCATGGCTAAGGGATACAACTCTCTACACAGTGTACATGTAATCAAAACAATATCATCTTATTTCAGAACTTAAAATTTAAAAAAGGTAACACTGCTGGCAACTGCTAACTACTTCACTGGGGGGCAGTCGGGTAGCCTAGTGGTTAAAGCGTTCACTCGTCATGCCGAAGACCCGGGTTCAATTCCCGACACTGGTACAATGTGTGAAGCCCATGCATTTCTGGTGTCCCCTGCCGTGATATTGCTGGAATATTGCTAAAGGCAGCGTAAAACCATACTCACTCACTCACTTACTGGCCCTGTATCACTTACAAAAGTGTCAACATCGGTCTTCATCCCTCTGATCTTGATATTTTTGACAAGCTGTTTTTTTCGTGCAACACTCCGCTCTAGCCCCAAATCAATCTCTACCATTGTTGTGTTTTGTGCAGAGGCATCACTGACAAACAGGGAGGAGGTGTGTTTCCCTGCTGCAGGTAATCTGTCATGTCCATTCCTAGTTTGACAAAGCCTGTTTAATGTTGTACACATCTGTGTTATGCCCTTTTCATAACAAACTTTGCTTTCTACACTGTGTTCACAGTGTCTTTGTAGGCTTGTGAAACATCTCTTAGATTGATTTGTATTTCTAACAGTTAAAATGTTAAGATTAGAAAAATGCGTCCCAGTTCTCTCCCCATTGTTAGTGGCCGTTGATTTTGCAACTGAAAGTAGCCACTTCAAATGGTGCAGTCTACAGTAGGATGTCATGGCCAAGTATGGTTGATTCATCAGAAACCCTGCAAACAAACATTCCATTATATATATTATTATACACTATCCTAATCACATTCCAAGCTAGCTGTTACATACCATAGTGTTGTAACTACACCATACTTCAATACAAGTTTAGGGAGTGTCATAACAACATATATATATCTTATATTCCTATCTTGTAAAGAGTTGCCAAACTATAGCCCAAATATCAAACATGTGCCAACCAACAGAGCAGCTGACCTAAAGTAATCAGACTTTACATCATTTCTTCGCAAGTCAGAGCAGCAGTACTATGTGTAATTTACCCGCTGATGTCAGCCAAGACATAACAATAATGTTATAGTAAGATGTCTGATACAGTCATATATTATAACTTCTAAGTTTTTATACTTCCTTATCACGCTTTCACTATCTAAAGGACCTCCACACACAAAAATATTTTAAAATAAGTACATCTACTTGATGATAACACTGGCAACCACAAACTTTTAATTGCCGTTGTCAGTACCAGCTGAGTAGATGGTCGTGTCCGCTGTGTAAACGTGAAACACGATCTAATTTTCTTTTTTTAGATTTCAGTGCCGTAATCACACATTTCGACTTTACATAACTCTCATAAATGTAGTTACTCAAATTGCAGTAAAACCACAAATTCAAAGTTGATCAATCTAGTTCATGCTGCTGACATGCTTTCCGAATGACAACAAATGAGAGTGCTCTGCTCTTGGGTTTAGAAAAATTCAAATCTAAATCACAAACGAAATAAGAGTCTGCCACAGCACGACGCAGTGATATGGTAATTAAGTCCCTCAGAAATCCAGATAATTCGCACCAAGTTTAGTCCATAGAATTATTTGTTTACTTATATTTGTGGGAATACTTACACATAATTATAATACAAAGTACATCTGACTTGAAATTCATTTCCGTTCTTCATCATAAATACTTTTCCTTAATGTTTTTTTTTGTTATTCCAACTGATCTCATTGCAAACATCAACATGGTCTTCCAAGACATTCGACTTCCATCTATCTAAAAAAGAGGAATTTTTTACATTCAATTGTGACAGCCAAACCAAATCAAGTGCCTCATTGAATACTTCAATATCTACGGCTTCAATCCCACCATTCTCAACATCTTGTGTAAGTCGACTCCGAGCAACCTTTTTCTTATTTACTATTCCAAACAAAGGTAAACAATCATCTATTATTTAATTTACCGCTTTTCTTTTGAATACTGATACAACTTGCTTCGTGAACTCCTCTGGAAATACGTTCTTATTTACTTTACAAGCAACGCAGGTAAATAGCTAAATTCCTTGTTATCCGAATATTTGTTTTCAGACTCTGGTACAGTAATTTGTGTGAATTCCGTGGGAGTCTAGATACCATAAGACAATACAAATGATTTGACATTTGCTTGGATTTCTTCAGGTGGTGTAGCGTTAATATCCATGACAAATCATATAATTGTTATACAAATATTGTTTTGTCTGATGTGGGTGATTCTGAAGTTATGATTTAGTATTTGGTGTTGTTGGTAGCTAAATTTATTATATACAGATGTAACGTAACTGTAAAATGACTGTCATTTCAATACATTCTGAAAAGATTTGTTATTACGCTACAGTCTTCTGAAGAATATCAAGTCATCCATTACATCCAAACTAGAAACTCTTCTTGCTGTTAACTAATTATAACTATTATTGTTGTTACTTTTAACATGAAAACACTATCCCCTGACACGCCTGTCAACGTTGTCTGCACAGAGTTGTATAGAGGTGGAATCGTGATCTGATAAAGATGCTAAAATAATAATTTTTTTAAACATGATCTTATACTGGTATGACAAGTTGGTCATAACCTGTCATCACTAAAACAAAAGCAACAAAACTGAAAAAAACCTGGTCGCTTTGTTCACAAGACATTACCACTCTTATCACAAGAGTCTTGTAAGCTATATTTCCTTCTGTAAAACCTATCAATGTATAGAACATGGAGACGGCGTGGAGTGACGCTGACTCAGGGGCTGTGGTCGCAAACGTAGTTGTAGTCATCGTACACAATATTACTCCATGTCGTCGATGTAGGTTTGACTGTAGCTGTAAAACATTAATGGATCATTGTCAAACCCTCGCATACCGAAACAGCAACGTATGTGGTAACAACTTTGACGACAACACTGATCAAGGTCGTAATCAAAGACGCTGAAAGCAAACAAACCAATCATGTTACAATTAATGCTACATTTTACTTATTGAATATTATGCAAGGATACTGGAATGGTTATTGATAAAAAATAGACGAATTTTGGTGTATTCGGGACCCGGTAGGGTGGTAGGCGGAACGCAATAAAATCGTATTTGGTACTCAAATTCAACTTGCATGTAAACAAACATAATGATGTACGTAACAGTCTACTTCATATAATAATTTTTTTTTCCGATATTTTTTCAGTGATTTTACTTGAAATTGCACCCTTTTCTCTATGCTCTTTTTCGATTTCTGTTACGTAGTATTTGGAATTCAGTGGTGAGTGCCCCCAGTGTGACAAATTAGACGGTATTCGGGATGCAGGGGAGGAGGGTTTGGCACCTTCATATATAGATCTAGTGCTCCCCACTGATAGCCCCACTTGTCATAAAGTTTCTCAAATGTTGGATTTTAATTTATGCTATTAAAATCATTAACATAGAGAACTTTAAACACAACCCTTAGTGTGTCTATATGTGTCTTTCCCTTATCTCAAAACGCCGACGCGTTAACATATTTCGTTAAAAAGCCAGTTCACAATTTCGAATCGCACTTTGTGCACATGGGTGTCTGTCACATAATGACAACAAACTACAGACTTTGGCTCCAATACGCGCGAATGGACGAATATTGAATTATTAATTGAATGACAGCACATTGGTTTATTGTATTTTGCTACCTTTACGATATACATTAACCAAAAATGACTGACAAAGCTAAACTAAAGGAAGAAACCAAGAAACAAATTCGAGGTCTGATTCTGTCGTCCCCAGTCGGGCTGACGCTGAGGGAGCTGAGAACAGATTATGAAAACTTCATCGGACCCCCAATACCCTACAGACAGCTGGGATACAACAGCATAGAGGATTTCCTACAAGATATCCCGGACACTGTTTGTCCATCATGGGAGAAGGGTATTTTAATCCTCAAAGCACCAACGGATCCAACTACTCAGCATATCGAGCGACTTGTGTCAAGACAGAAGATCCCCAACAAGAAGAAATGGGCTGTATTACGGAAGCCACCACCAAGACGGAATACATATCGCCCTGCTCCAATAGTACCCAGTCACTTAAGAAATCAAATTCAGAACTTATTCAAGAGCTACGGTGATGGCTTGCCAATCACACATTTTGAGACTTGTTTTTCAAAGAGATTTGGGTATCAGCTTGATTATAAAAAACTCAGATTTGACACTTTGAGTGACCTCTTGGAAAGTATTCCCTCAGTGGTGAAGCTCCTTCCTTTTCAGAATGGAGAATTGAGGGTTGTACCGACAGATTTTTATTCTGGTGCGCCCCTAAGACGAAATGTTTCTCCAAAAGCAAACAGTGTTCATTCAGCATCTGCCGCAGCAGATACAGTTATAAATCAAACATCACAGCGCCGTCAGTCACAGCCCTCAGCGACATATCCAGGGTCACAAACATATACAAACACTGACACACAAAACAAGAAGCCTTCATCACACCACCAATCTCAAACTTCAGCCAACATTCCTTCTCTTATGAGCCTGCCAATTCAAAACACAACCCAAAGGCCATGTGTGCAGAATATGGGCTACCCAAATCCACAGATGCAGGTGATCCAATCAGGTAACATGCTGTATCATGTGCCTGTTATTCCCAATGTGCATATTCCAACTAGCGTACAATACCTTCCACAACCGATGCTGACTCCGCAGATGACGATGTATGTGCCACAACCACCAGTCAGTGTCCAGACTACATCACACGTCTACAGCCCTGCTGCTTCAAGGCAACCCCTTCCTACCATGACCACCGACAGTAGTCCGATATTACAGGAACCACATTGTGTGGCTGCGCCAAGCAAAGACGTTACATTACCAGGTGATACTTGTTTGAAAAGTTACATTTGTTGTGTTTGTTTGTTGTCTAACGCCACACTCTGCAATATTCCAGCTATATGAGGGCGGTCTGTAAATAATCAAGTCTGGACCAGACAATCCAGTGATTGACATCATGAGTATTGATCCACGCAATTGGGATCAATGACATGCATCAACCAAATCAGTGAGCCTGACGACCCAATCCTGTTAGTCGCCTCTTACAAAAAGCATTGCGTCTTTTATGGCAAGCATGAGTTGCTGAAGACCTTTTCTACCATGGATCATCACGGGTCTGTAACATTTGAGTGACTTTGTAGGTAGCCCATCAGTGAATGGGGTCCCGGTAGGATGAGATAGTAATGTGACTGTTAACCTAAAGCCTCACACTCACAGGTAGTATTCCTGGTACATACTACCTGTGAGGTATAAAGGGCTGTATTCCTGGTAGCAAACCTGGGTACTCTCCTAATGTCAGTCAACAGATTGGGAGGTACCAAACCTAAGGCGCCGAGAAAAATGGGTAGTTGGACAACTTGGTACTTGGGATGCAAGCATGACATTTCAAAAGCGAGTTCCGCATGTTTATTATTATTATTATTATTATTATTATTATTAAAGATGGTTCTGGGACAGACACTTTGCCATAACTTGCAGGAATGCAACTTTTCTGTACCATGCAAGCTATGTCTAATGTTAGAGAGGTATCACAAGGGTTACCTAGGGCTAGTAAATTCAGGGTGAGAAAAGGTCCCCAGCAGCCGATGCTTGTTGTAGGAGTTGACAAAATGATGTGGGTGGTCAGGCTTGATGACTTTGGTATTCCCAGGAAGCACTGCCTAGTCAAACCCACTTAGAACGTTTTTGAGAATGTGAAGACTCCCCAACACTGCAGCCTCCTGCATTACCCAGATTGTCAAAAAGGATGTAGATTCCTGATATCAAACCCGGGTACTCTCCTAATGTCAGTCAACAGATTGGGAGGTACCAAACCTAAGGCACCGAGAAACATTGGGAGTCGGACAACTTGGTACTTGGGATGCAAGCATGACATTTTGAAAGCGAGGTCCGCATATTTATTATTATTATTATTAAAGATGGTTCTGGGACAGGTACTTTTGCCATAACTTGCAGGAATGCAACTTTTCTGTACCATGCAAGCTATGTCTAATGTTAGAGAGGTGTCACAAGGGTTACCTAGGGCTAGTAAATTCAGGGTGAGAAAAGGTCCCCAGCAGCCGATGCTTGTTGTAGGAGGTGACAAAATGATGTGGGTGGTCAGGCTTGATGACTTTGTTGATTGCATTCATAGTACCCCCAACAGTGGAGGAAGATGCTTATAATATCAACCACTGGATTGTCTGGTCCACACTTGGTATTTACAGGCAGCTGTTATGCAGCTGGAGTATTACTGTCTGCAATATTAACATTAACTTACACACAACAATTACATATCATATGTTATTGTTAAAATATACTGGTAGCGAAGAATTGTCTCTTGACTGAGTTGATAAGTAGTTATTAGAGATTTGTTTGTTTCATGTTTATCGCTGCACTCAGCAATATTCCAGCTATGACTACAGTCTGTAAGTTATCGAGTCTGGACCAGACAATCCAGTGATTAACATCATGAGCATCAATCTACATGATTGGGATACGATGTCATGTTTCAACCGAGCCTGACCACCTGATCCCTTTAGTTGCCTCTTATGACTAGCATAGTCGCAAGCATGGGTTGCTGAAGACTCATTCTCTACCACTCTTGCAATGCTTAATTAAAGTGTCATGTTACGTTTCCATGTTATACAGCATTTAATTAATGAGAGTGTGTGTGCTGACTTTTACATTGTGATCTACAGATGACCGCAGACTGGCACAGCAATCTAGGGACAGCATAAAGTCTTGCAACAGCTCCTTGGATTCTACCGAGTTTATGTTTGATGATGACTGTGGAGTTTCCCCCGAGTTGCAGGAAGAAATCAAACAGGTGACCTTGGATTTGACTAGGATTCAAAACTTATGTCCATGGCAGGCAAATTGGGAAATACGGTAGAACACGGATATAACGAACTACAAGGGACCAGTGAAATCAGTTTGTTATAGCCGACACTGAGTGAGATTTCTCAGTTCGCTATACATGTCACTAATTAGTGATAGATGGGCTTGTCGGTGATCAGATATCAGTTCGCTGTATCCGTTAGTTCGCTGTAGAGAGTTTGTTATATGTGTAAATTTTATATGATATTATATAGGAGATCAATCAGGGATTTTTTAACAGTTCGTTGTATTCGTTTGTTCACTATATCCGTGTTCTACTGTACTGTTAGTTTGGTTCAAAATTGGTATTTAAGTTTTTAGTTTCATTATATCAAAGGCATATTTCTTAATGTCAGAGATATTTAAAAGTTGTATTTTGGCATTGCATTGAATGCAGTCTTATAAAATTTAAGAAATTTAAGTGAAGGTTTTTTTTCTGTAATCATCCTGTTGCCAGTGAAATACAAGTCGCTTCAAAACTGTCAACTGAGCCATTGAAGCAAATTTACATGAATCGGGAAATTTCTTTTCTCAATTTGGGAAATTTTACTGCAGACTTTGAGCCGAATATTGGCCCGTGAGCTGGTCTAAATATATCCATGTGCAGGCCTCAAAGTTGCAACTAAAACAGTCGCCAATGCAACCTAAGTTTCAGTTTGTCTAAATGACGACCTTGAAAAATATCTTGTGGCAACCAGCGTTAGAAATTGGCACTAGTCCTGTAGTCCTTACCAAACTGCCCAATGGTAAAGGTATCCTAAGGACTAGTAGAAATTGGCCCATTTTAGGGGTTTTGCTATATGTTATCATTATAAGGACTAGTGGACAAAAACTGTTAGTTTCTAACATGTCTAACCCTGGGCAACTAAATGCTATTGCTACACATCTGTAGACACAAAAATATATAACAGCTGATCTTGGAAAATATGTCTGCTAATAATTGTACTCGAAAATAATTCCTCCTAAAGTTGACAATGAACCGAAATGCATAAATATTAATCTAATTGGTACATTATATTAGTTAATGTAATTTATACTCTATTTTAGTTGACAATGCTCATTGGATAAGCAAGGATTTACCTATATAATCTAGTAACATAAATTGTATCATTGTTCGAGTCACAAGTAACAAAACTCAAGTACAGTTTTCACTAATATACAATTCCAAAACTAGTGCTATATGTACATGTTAAAGATATTTGATAAAAGATAATTTCAAATGCATTTGGCTACCTACAATATTGGCATGACTTCTTGATTTTACCACTGGCTACCTGGAAAAAAATACTTGTAGCCACATGGCTACTTGGTAAAAATTGAAACTTTGAGGCCTGATGTGTGACATTGTTGGGATGTCTCATTGCAATAATATCAGTGTATCAGTAATTGGAGGTCAATAAAGCCACACATTTTTTAAATTTCGTTTCACGGGCCCCAACTGAAAAGCAGCTGGAAAAGAAATAAATGGTACATAAAAAGTATTTAATTTTATTATGTCTCTGGCAAATAATATAGTCCCTCTTGTGCAATAGAAAATGTTATATATAAATTCCATGTTTACATCACTGTCGTGCCACGGCAGAATGACTTTCATATAAATAAGAAAATGATTGACTTGGCTATCTATTGTTATTTTTATTTCGACTGACAATGTGTAGAAAAGCTGGAATAAATCTGTGAAATTTTAACTTAAATAAGTGTGGCCTAATGCACACAGGTACAAGGCATGAAGCCTGTTCTTGAAGTTCACAAGCTGTAGCTTCCATCATATTGGTACAGTAGTGCTAAAATGACAATGACAGTACTTTATTACCCACAAGGAATTCGTCAAACATGTGAATGTTTTAACATATTGTATACATAAAATCATTTAAATGACATGACAGACAGAGAAAAAAACAGTACAGAAGTTAACATGGTTAACAATCATTTCAGAGACAGATAGAATCGGATAAAAGATCTAAGAGCTCTTATTTGCTTTAAAATGTGGAATTAAGTATTGCTGGCCAGAAGTGCATAGTCCTTGTTTAAATAATGACTTGGATCAGCTAAAACTTTTAGTGATAATTTTAAAACACGCTTTTCACTTAAAATAGTTAAACTGTTGAATAGGACATCAGCTGTCTATAAGCTACTATTGCGATTTTGTCTAAGCGTGATTTGTTTTGAACAGAAACTCCCGTATCGGCACTGAATGGAAAACATTAATTCACTTTCAACAAAACAATAATAAAAAAATATTTTTGGTAAACATCCTAATTTATGCATAAAATGCAATCTCTGTTAGTTTGAAGTGGCATCAACCATATTGTCTCTACTCTAACTCATTTACTCCCCCTGTGGAGATGCAAGGTTAGAAGTCAGCAACGTATGCTTGTCTTAAGAGATGATTATATAGTATGTATATGGACCAGGTGGTCTGACTTGGTGAGGGGGGCACGGGTGGCCCAGTCGTCTAAGGCGCCGCGATTCTCTGTGCAGAGTTGCGTCCCTTGGGCACGCCAGAAACCTATGATTGTGGGTTCGATTATGTTTCTAGGTTTGTCAGCACCATACCCGTGCTCGTGGGTTTCACCGAAGTGGTAAACATCTGAGACCTGCATCACTTCGGGCTTTCCTCCCACATTAAGCTGACACGCCGTGATATAACTGGAATACTGTTAAAAGCGGCGTTAAACCCAACTCACTCACTCACTCACTGACTTGGTGACATGGTTGTTTGCTTGTCATCATCCCTCGACCATGAGTGTGGAATGATGCTTGCTATATCTATCACTGGTTTGTCTCCTTCAGAGTCCTTCATTTACAGGTTGTCATGATATAGATGGCAATATTGCTGACTGGCTTTAGAGGGGCATTTGCGGTAGGAACTACCTCACTCTCAGAGGGCGGAGCTAATACGACTTATCTGATAGATCAATATGACATCATGCTAACACACAAATTTCATTGGTTAATGCATAAACGGGTGACGTCTAGTAAACATCCACCCGTTTGGGCCGTTTGACAAAAAATTATAATTTCCATCAAATGATTCCAAGACTTTTCAACAAACACGTAGGTCTTTGGTTTCAAAACCTACCTGCCACGTCGTCTCCACATCTTCATAAAATGATACTGTGGAATGTCCACCATTTATGTTTTTAATCCAGTCCAACACACAAATTAGTTCTGCGCTATTCTCTGGACGAGAACGAAACACGTATGTTGTTATGAATAAGAGCAGTGTTCATGAACAAAACACCATACTAAACGAACGAAATACTAATATCACGGCACCAAACGTAATCCTGTAGTGCACGGTATATGTTCGAAACTGAAACACTGCCACCTTGTGGGCTATTTATAGTCAGGGTGGTGCTTTAACCACATTCATTGGCTCAGTCAGTCACTGTGTATTTTCATGAATTTGTTCCGTTGAAGGTCCTGGAGAGAAGACCGAAGGGAATATGGGCTAGCAGGCTGCCGTTCGAGTACAAGGTATGAAATGAATGCTCTTTTCTAGGGCTTCTTGTACACATATTTCTATTAGGCCATGGCATAATTATTCATCATTAACATTTGTTAGTATTCCCTTCATTGCTTGTGCAGAGTTGTGACCTTTGGGCATGCCAGAAACCTATGATTGTGGGTTTGAATCCTGGTTCGCTCTAGGTTTGTCAACACCATACCCGTGCTCGTAGGTTTCACCAAAGTGGTAAACGTCCTAGACCTGCATCAATTCAGGATTTCCTCCCACATTAAGCTCACACGCCATGATATAACTGGAATAATGTTTAATAAATAATAAAGTTTTACTCTAAGATAAAATTTCCTTTTGTATCAAATTTATCCGTCGGGCATAACACCACAGATGTTTATTTCATGGATGCCACCTAGATCCAAATATTGCCGATCTGTTACACTATTGTTAAAAAAAAATCCGAACAAGTATCTTTAGAGACAGACTCCGTGGTCTAGTGGTAGAGCGTCCGCCCGAAGAGCAGATGGTCTGGGGTTCGATCCCCGGCCGCGTCATACCAAAAGATAAAAGACGTTAAAAGATAGTACTTGTTGTTACCCTGTCTGGCGCTCGGCATTAAGGGGCTAAAACAAAGACGGGTAGGCTAGGAGTCAGTATACTGTGTCTGAGTGGGGTATTCATGAGGCATGGTATCTCAGTGTGCTAGCACCATAAATCGGCATCAGTCTGGCTAATACAAGCAGCCACACACACACACACACACACACACACACACACACACACAGACACACACAGACACACACACACACACGCACACACACACAGAGAGGATTTCCTGAGCCCCGGATACATTGGGTAACGCTGATGCTGTGTTTCAGGGAATGTTCAACAAGGAGCTGCCATTTAGGGAATTGGGATTTCACAGCGTGGTGGAGTTTATGTCGACACTTCCAAAACAGCTTGTCGAGATCCAACGCCCCAACAAGAAGGGAGACTTTCTTCTACTTGGTGCTCACTACAAGACAGAGGAACACGGTAGACTGACCAACACTTCAGACCCTGTGATGATCTGGGTTATCTTCAGCAGGCCAATCTTTCATAAGATTCAATATGCTTGTCGTAAAAGGCGATCGGGTGGTCAGGCTCGCTGACTTAGTTGATGCATGTCATCGATCCCAAGTCCGTGCCGCCGTCATATAGCTGGAATATTGCTGAGTGCGGCGTTAAACAACAAACCAACCAACCAAATCGTAAGATTCAATCAGGTGGTCGGAGTTGCTGACTTGGTCGATGCATGTCATCGTATCCCAATTTTGTGGATTCATGTGCCTGATGTCAATCACTGGATTGTCTGGTCCAGACTCGATTATTTACAGTATGCTGTATTATAGCTGGAATATGCTGAGTGCTCCGTTAAACAACAAACAAGCAAACAAACAAGCAAACAAACAGTGAAGTAAGATCAGATATGAACAGGGCTGTACAGGGAGGTTATATTGCAGATGAGGTTATATTGCAGATGAGGTTGAGAGGAAGGCAACTGGGGCCGTGCCATCCAAAGAAGGGCTGCAGAGCCCTAAAGAGAACCAAAGTTTCCGAGAGAGCGTCCGGCAGGTCCTACAGGCTCACCAGGAAGGGATTCTCATGCAGGAGTTCCCAGCTAAATACAAGGTAGTCAGATTAGGTCCACAGTGCCGTGAATATCCGGGGTAGAATAGGTCTTCAGCAACCCATTCTTGCCGTAAAAGGCAACTATGCTTGTCGTAAGAGGTAACTAATGGGATTGGGTGGTCAGGTTTGCTGACTTGGTTGATGCATGTCATCGTATTTCAATTGGATGGAGTGATGCACATGATAGCAATCACTGGATTGTCTTGTCCAGACTCAATTATTTACAGACTGCCGTCATATTGCTGAGTGCGGTTTTAATAAAGGGGAATCCGGCCTAGAGTAGAACCAAGTACCTCATGCTTGTCAACCTATGGAGATTCCAGGTTAGATTAGATCCCAGTATCTCCATGTTTAGTGGATGGTGGGGTAGTCTAGTGGTTGAAGTGTTTGCTCATCACGCCAAAGACCTGGGTTCGATTCCCCACATGGGTTCAATGTGTAAAGCCCGTTCCTGGTGTCCCCTGCTCTGATATTGCTGGAATATTGCTAAAAGCAGCATAAACCAATACTCACTCACTAAGGGTATGCACATCGCTATCTAAGTGCGATAATCTTTGACGCTCACCTGTTAAGGGTTGGCAGTTCTGTATGCATTGTTTTAACAAAGTATTGCCACTCATGGCTTGTTGCAGGAGTGAGTGAGTGAGTGAGTGAGTGAGTTTTGGCTTTACACCGCTTTTAGCAATATTCCAGCAATATCACGGCGGGGGACACCAGAAATGGGCTTCACACATTGTACCCATGTCGAGAATCAAACCCAGGTCTTCGGCGTGACGAGCGAACGCTTTAACCACTTGGCTACCCGACCGCCCCGCTTGTTGCAGGAGATGACTGGAAGGACATTGAAGAACGAAATTGCCTACTGTGGCTCCCTGGAGAAACTGTGTATCTCTCTCACAGACGATGTGCTGCAGATCAACTACAAGGGGGATGGTGAGTTTACTGTGTGTACAGATTATACACAATTGTATTGCATCACTCTTGATTCCTGGTTAGAATCGGTCCCGATAACCCAGAGGCATCCAAAATGGATTGGGCTTAAGGCTCAGTCATTTGGTTGAATGTGTGCCATCATACCCTTATGGCGTGGATTGTTGCTCATAATATCAATCATTGGTTTGACTAGGTTTAATTATTTGCAGGCCTCCAGCATTAAACAACAAACAAAATTAGGGACAAGTAGAATATCAAACTAATTGAAGTGTGTCCTTGAATGCTGAATTTGTCATTAAACTACAAACAAACGTTACATAGATGTAAAAGATGATTTTATTAATCATAATTCGCAGAAATATTTAGTATTTCAATGCGGATATCTATTGAACATCATGGAGGATGTGGATAAACCTGTGGGATTCTGGGTCAGTGAAGGTCCCCAGTACTGCATGTTTGTTGTAATAGCGGACTAAAAAGGGGTTTGGGTGTTGCATGTACCCTTTGGGATAGGATGTTGCTCATGCTCTCAGCGACAATTGCTTGATATTGACTTGATCATGACCATCTACTGTCATCCTGTGTCAACATGTTCATTTTCTCACTGCTCCCTGTGTGTCTGGTGCAGGCTGCCTCATGCTGTACGCCATCTACTCCGACCTGGCCCGGAAGTTTGACCAGTTGCTGGACACCTACCAGCCGCTTGCTGTCACTGAGGTACGCATCTTGAGGGTCCCGATGGGGGAGGTCACCAGTCGGTAGTCACTCAAATTTGGGGCCTTGAGTCCCCAGTACAGTAGAACATAGATATAACGAACACGGATAGAGCGAACAAGCAGATACAACGAACTGTTAAAATATCCCCCATATATCTCCTATTTAATATCATTTTTTTTTACGTATATTACATACTCTCTACAGCGAACTAAGAGATACAGCTAACTGATTAGTGACGTGTATAGCTAACTAAGAAATCTCACTCAGTGTCAAGTGTCACTGACAATTGACTGTATGCAGTCAGCAGTGAATCAACACAATCGCGGCGAATCAACACAATCAGTGGTGACGGATCAACACACTCAGCGGTGACGGATCAACCTTGTTAAACTTCAATGAATGTTATGAAATGTTATCAATTGAATGCAATGAAGTGATTACTGCAAAAATAAGTCAATGCTGCAATTACGTGTATTATGTTTTGTTTTATCCAAGATGGCGGACGTTTCCGAGCGAAAACATATATAACAAACACTGGATATAACGAACTGATTTCTCTGGTCCTTTGTGGTTCGTTATATCCATGTTCTACTGTAGTTATATTTTCAGCTTAGTTAAAAACATGCGAATAGCGGACAAGCTGTCAAGTTGAATCTAAATTGTGAAATTGTCTCTTTGTGAATGTGGATCGTCTGTCTGTGAGTCTACTGGGAAACATGAGGACAGCGGGTCAGCTTTCTTTTCATTACTGCAGTCCTAGTTTTGTAAATACCAGACACTGACCATGTGCATGCTGACAGGCCTTCTCGTGTTGTTACATCTAGTTACGAGATTGTAGCACAATTATGATTACAGTGATGTTTTAATTTACACTCAGCAGTTCGCTATGGACATTATACAATTAATCTGTAATAACAATAAAAAATTATTAGTTATGATAAAAAATGTACTCATCTTACCTTTACAATTGTTTCTTTAGTTCATTTATTCGTTTTACACTAAAAGTAGACCCAATCATGACCCTTGTAACCTGTCTCAGTGTGGCAACAGTCATTGATTGAACAATGGTTTTTAACTAATATATATAATTATATTGTAAGTATATTAAGTTTGTCAATATACCTACATGCAGTTGTTTTTATCTCATGTATTTTAAGGTCTATTGACTATGAGTTTAAAGTGTAAATGTGTTTGTTTGATGCTTGTAATTGATGTGAATCCCATTTTTGAAACTTTTAACATATGAGCAGTGTTGAGAGTTATTGGAGCAATATGTGAAGGTAAATGTCCCCTTACATTTGAGGGGCAGTCGGGTAGCCAGCCTAGTGGTTAAAGCGTTTGCTCGTCTCGCTGAAGACCCGGGTTTGAATTCTGTCATGGGTACAATGTGTGAAGCCCATTTCTGGTGTCCCCCGCCGTGATATTGCTGGAATATTGCTAAAAGTGGCGTAAAACCAAACTCACTCACTCACCTTACAATTGGAACTCTCCTCATACTATGCTAAAAAATCTGATAAACTCTGCAAACTAACATTTTTAGTCTACTAGTCGTTATAATGAAAATCCCTTAACAATGGCAAACTTCTACTGGTCCTTATGATACCTTAACTGTTTGGCAGTTTGGCAAGGACTACAGGACTAGTGTCAATTTCTAATGCTGTTTACATCTTCAATTTGGATAAGTTTTTGGTTAGAAAAGCCCCCAAACAAAACTAAGGTTATTTACAGAATTGTATTTCAGTGACTTTATCATTTCTTACTATTTGTGGTGAGTGGTGGTACCAGCTGTACCGTCAGCCTGTATTGCAAGATGTCCGGCGATATTCAGCTCTGCTCAAAATCTTATTCGTACACACTCGGTTCGTACTAAAGCCATGCTTGCCGTAAAAGGTGACTATGCTTGTCGTAAAAGGCGATTAACGGGATCGGGTGGTCAGGCTCGCTGTCTTGGTTGATGCATGTCATCGATCCCAATTGCGTGGATCGTTGCTCATGATGTCAATCACCGGATTGTCTGGTCCAGACTCTATTATTTACAGACCGCCGTCATATAGCTTGAATATTGCTGAGTGTGGTGTTAAACAACAAACCAACCAACCAAAATCATACGAAAGCTGAGAAATTAAATGGAGATAACTTTGATGGCAAAGAGGTGATATGATGAGATTGCACAACTTTATCATCTACTGCTTTATCTAACCCTCTATTACCACCATGTCCTCATGTTCCGCTGTGCTTACAGGTGGCCAAACTGATGTATCATGTTTCCCCAAGTACCGATGACATGGTGGGTATCAGAGAATCGTTACAGCGCTAATTTTAAGTTTGTTGGCAGGCACCTCCCAATGTTCAAGACAGTCTACCTGCGGACGCAGTGGGACCAGGGTCATACTACACACAGCTCCCTCTGCCAGACTTCTCCGACTACGTGGAGATCTTCGTGTCCAACATCGTCTCTCCGGGATTGTTCTGGACTCAGTTCCGGGAGCGGAACAACACCAAAGCTCTGGAGAGACTCATGGATGATCTGGAGTGAGTTGACCTTAAGTAGTGCCTGATTTCTATTCATATCATTTCAAAATCAGCTGACATAACTTTATGTAGAGGCCCCTCAAGTGGTTGTGTTTGAGGTAACATTGACTTGAGAAAGACAGGTCGGTAAAAAGGAATTTTAAAAAAATATATTTGTATTTATTTTTTTTAATTGATTTATTTACTTCAATATCAATTAAGTGGTTGTCAACGAGTTTATTTCGGTAGCAGGGTTATCCTGGAATATTTTGCCTATGAGAGAAAAATCACCTCTGGTCGAAAAGCAATGAAATTTCGTGGAGTGTGATGAGATTTTTCTAATTATTCGAGAGATGCTGCATCTTCAAACAGTGGAAACTGTATTTGATTTTCATTATTTTACCTTTTCCTGACTCATCCTAATTGTTTATCTCATCTCATGTCTGAAAGACTTCCAGTGCCCCTGATCGGCTCAGGCGCACCAGAGTCACATGACGAAAGTCGCTAACTTGTCACTCTATCATTTTCGGGACACCTGTGCTTCATATAATCCAAGCCTTTCTCACCATAATTTTCTGCTCAGATTATATTCTTTACTATTTACAGTTATTTTTTAATTTTGGCTTAAATGTTTACATATGTTTTGCTCTTAAATACCTTTTTTCGTAATGAAAACATGTAACATGTAAAATATGTGTTTCAATTTCGGAACCTCACCCTATCTGTATCAATCACGGCCGTACACTAAGTGAACGATATCAGTTCTTGCGCAATCTCATTAAAATCTGATCTTTGTTCTCGCTACCACTAAACAAAGATCTGTGGACATCCAATTACGGGTCACGTCAGAACGGCCTTTCACGAATATTGACCGACCAATGAAATGACTGACAAGAAATCGACATTAGCCAATCAGAAGGCAGCTTTCTCGAGCTTTACGACTCTAGTTTCAAACTGGCGACTACGCTTCGAAACATATTTTGACGTATTCTCGATTAAAAGAATTAAAACTGATAAGAAGAACACTCTGGAATGGCTTACAGATGGCCTAGATTGTATGGATATACATGTGTAATCATAAAACCCGTAACTGTCGTTTGGAATACCCCATGTTAAATATTTCGTGGTTGCATGATTAGAAAACACGTTCCGACTGTCACTTTCATGATCTGGCAAGCGACGCTCTGATTGGTCGGATGAAAGGTCGTTCCGACGTGACCCCTAATGGGATGTCCTCAGATCTTTGTTTAGCAGTAGCGAGAACTAAGGTCTGATTTTAATGAGATTGGTTCTTGCATTTATTGCTTGCTTTAATAACTGTTACACTGAACACTGATTAGTAGTGAAAACAAAAATATTTTCATCCTTTGCGCCATGTGTGACACTGCCAACTATAAATCATCAGTGTGCCATGTATTTGCCATCCTGTTTATGAAACCGATGGCTTACGCACCACAGATAAGAACACATGCATGTATTGTGATATGTATCAGATTGTGAGCAAGGTATCGTGATGAGCATCAAATTGCACAGTTGGTGTATCATACCATCCCTACTTGTTTCCCTGCCGTGTGCTCAGCATTAATTGGCTATAACAAGGACTGGTAGGCTTGGAGTCCGTATACTGCATCTGAGTGGGTTATCCATTTTAAACTGTGACATGGTGTCTCAGTAGGCTAACGCTATAAATGTGGCATTAGTCCGGACTAGTACAAGTAGCATGTCGCTATATTAGTGCAGTTATCTTGAACACAATGTTCAACCCTATTTCACCTCACCTCTTCTCACCAAGTTCACACTTGGTTCTAATTACCGTATTCACTGCATTAGACGCCCTGCTCCAATACACTCCTGTCTGACCAACTTCTGTACCAATCTGTAACTCTAAGATATATATATACTGTACTCTTGAAAATCACATGTGTGAAACCGGTTGAGTAAATGATACAGCTCATCTTTGAACTTTTGTATTTTATATACAAATATATGTATTTTATATATATAAAATACAAAAGTCCAAAGATGAGCTGTATAATTTACTCAACCGGTTTCATGCATGTGATTTTCAAGAGTACAGTTATACCGTTACGCTGTTTGACGTCACAGTGCAATCTAACTTTGTGACGTCACAATAAGACAGGCGTAAGACGATAGGGCAGGCGTACAACACATACAGAAATAAGTATTGTAGTGGCAGTAAAATGTACAATACATTGTAATTGTATAAAATAATTCAATTATTTCTGGCCATTTAATTTTGGTTTGAAAGTATTAATAAAATAACTTTCTTTTATCTTTCTCAATGCATCATTGTCACATTTGTAAAACGGGAATATCACAAAATTTGGTGTTTTATTCCCGGCACACTGATCAATGTGTTGACTGAGTCCAGTACATTGTATGACATAAATCAAGTTTTTTGAAGCACAATTCATATTTTCACGGACATAGAAAGTTTTTCCGTCTTTGAATGTAAAAGAAGAACATTGTAAAACATGAGGGCAAGTACCACAATTTGGTCTGTTACACTTTTGTACTGTTTTACATTCTTGTTTTCCATTTGAGAAATATATATATATATTCAGTAACTATTATCAAAAAAGTTTTATTTTCATAGACGTTTGAACTACGTTTGTTCACTACCCCTCGATCTCTGAAAACAAATTTAAATCATTGTGTATGGATTTATTAGGCACTGCCCCTGTCAATTTCAAAGGGTTCGGGGTGTTTTTTACGGCAAATACGTTACCTCCTCTGGACATGTACAGGACATGGGTACTAGACCATGGAGCAGCAGCAGCATCCAAGGTATACAGGAGACATGTTCATTCTTTGATCAGCAGAATCCGCAGTGACAATATGGACACCTGCTTGAGAGAATAATGTTCAATGTGTCGTTAAACACGCTGGGGTTACAGAACATGCTGATTGGCAGCTGTGGTTGTTTTTAGGTTTTATCGGAGCAGCAGTGGCAACCAGTACAAGGTTCCGGAGTCGCTGCTGGCCGTGGGGCAGGTGGTGGCTGTGTTGTTCCCCGAGGACCAGAACTGGCACCGTGGCATCATCACCAGCATCAGGACCATGGACTTCGTGGACGTGAGTCAGCTGTCGCAGGGATTTAACCTCATGGGTTCCACTGCTAAATTCTTCAAATTCTAAGACTGAAATAAAGCAGGACACAGCAGGAAGAAAATGTTACTCTTCTTCTATTTCATGTCACATTTGTAAACTTTGGGTCACCGGTAAGAGATATTGATAATGACCTACTGTGATAATACATATTTTGCCCTGTTCTGTGTGCAGGTGTACTACGTTGACTACGGCAACACCTGCTCCGTGCAGAAGAAGACACTGAGACTACTGCGGTGAGATGCCAGGATCTTGTACAGAGAACAATTGAATGTAGATTATGCTTTTGTGTAAAATTAAGGCTAAAAAAAATTAACAGTCTTGGTTCTCAGGCACCGCCCGCATCATCATAAAGTTCGCTGCACTATTCATTTTTATTTCCATTTTTAAAAAACCCAACAAATCCTTAAATAGTCCAACAGTACTCAAATACTGTATTCCAGTATTTTACTCATCCAGGAATACATTTTGTAGGGAGGCCCTTTCCCAGGTTGATTGGACACAACTGTTTGTTTGGCTACATACTAGTTTGAACAACAACAAAAAACAAACAAAAAGACACCGCCCGCCCGCACTATGTTTTCAAAAACCAATGCCTGAGAACCAATTTTTTTATTTTTTTAAGCCTTAGAGGACAGGAGTGATCCAGATGTCACAAGTCTGTGCAGAGTTGTGTTCCTTACACATGCAGTGAAATGTTGGTTGTGGATTTGAATCCCAAATCCAGCGTGTGTAGTGCTTGTTACACTATGCTCTGGACTTAAAGATCAGTGTCAACTCAGTAGAAGTGTAATGCTATAATAATGAAACCTATCCATGAAGAATAGAAGGGGTCCATGCTTGCCGTAAGAGGGGACTAACAGAACGGGTGGTCATGTTCGCTGACTTGGTTGACGCATGCCATCGTATCCGAATTATGTAGATCGATGCTCATGATATGAATCACTGGATTGTCTGCTCCAAACTTGATTATTTACAGACTGCTGTCAAATAGCTTGAATATTGCTAAGTGCAGCGTTAAACAAGAAACAAACAAACAAAACAAAATACTGAGACCCTTAATATACTACTCAACCTTTGATTAGGATAATCAGATATGCCATTCTACTGAAATATGCACTGGACAAAAATGTTTTTTTATCATATAATGGGTAGGTTTCTCGGCAGGATAAAGCCAACAGATAAAAACGATATCCGTTGGGGTCATATGCAGATAGAGATGCAAATATCAAAGGTCAAGTAGGGACTACTTTCACTGTTCATAAACAAACATGGCGTCGCCCTCGTCATTCGGCAATCGAGTCAGAATTAATCATCGGGAATCTGGGTAAACAACAGGGATAATTGCTATCATTATCAAAAGAACAGTCTAATATACTGAAAATCAGTGTCTAACTGTAACGTAGCTAAGGCATTTTATTTTGGCAACTTTGGAGATATAAATTTTGAAACAATTTTGCGAGGGCACGAGGCCTAGCCAAGCGTCATCAGTAGCCATATCTGTGCTTGTAGACCTCTGCGGCTTGAAACCTTCTCCACCAATTAAAATAGTTGGATTTGGCCGACATATGTTTGAATTGTTACCATGTTTCGTTTTGTCGCTGTGTGTACATCTGACTACACTTCTTAATGTTATGACAGGACAGACAGACTGTCAACAACGTCTGACCGTGGCTGTGACGTCTCATAGACTAGGGTTAGAGTAGCTTTCCCATGTCGGGAATCGAACCTAGGTCCTCGGCGTGACAAGCGAACGCTTTAACCACTCGGCTACCCGCCGCCCCTGGAGTAGTATAGGTACAAGGATAGTGCCAATGGTACTGAATTCACTGTATGAGTGACCGATCAGAGTTTATTTACTTCCAAAACTAAAAGTTGCTGTTTTTGTACTTGTGTGAAGTAATGACTGCCCATGATATGTGCGTGAGCTGGATGTATTCTCCTCCTCAGGTCCCGTTATCTCAAGCTTCCCGCCCAGGCTGTTCAGGCGAGACTGTCCAACATTCAACCTTCAGGGGAGGTAACTGCAGATTCATACTGGGAATTTGACAAAGTCACGATTTATCACTATACAGAAAAAATGACACAAGATGATGATGGTGATGATTTAGGTTTTAAGTCTGTATTTGACAAACAGACAAATACTCAAAATTAAAATGAGGTGATGCACTGAAATATATTGTGCACATACAATACAAGTATTACATATATACTACTCAAAACAAGTTAAAGAACACCCACAATTTGTGTTTTGCAATTCCCACCAGCCATGACATTAACTGTAGACATACGAATTCTTTTTCTTTAACTCCTTTTGAGTAGCATCAGTACCTCAACCAGTGATACAATTATAGTATCGAATCTTCATGTGCTATGCACCAATGTTTTGGCAAATTCTCTCATCAGTAATTCAGGGGCACGGGTTGTCCAAGGCCCCATAATTCGCTGTGCAGAGTTGCATCCCTTGGGCACATCATAAACCCAAGGTCGATTGTACAATCCCTGGCCTTGTCATCCCAAAAGATGTCAAAAGATGGAACTTGTTTTTGCCCTGGCTGGCCCTCACTAATAAGGGGCTAAGGGCTTGTCATCTCAGAGTCAGTATATTGTGTCTGAGCTTGGTACCCATGTTAAGACTCTGGCATGGTATTTCAGTAGGCTAGCGCTAAACAACCGGCATTTTCTGGACTAGAACAAGCAGCAACATGTGCGCATGCATGCATGCATGCATGCATGCACATCGCTATATATACCGTATTCAACGTAATAAGTGCCCAGGGCGCTCTCAAAATTAGAAATAGGGGGCTCTTATTAGAATATTATTTTGGTAAAAAAAAAACAGAGTTGAAAGATAAATTTCATGGTTTATGCTTACAGCCTGAAATGTTTATGTACGACAGATATATTTTTCCAGAATTTAATTGCCCATAATTAAGGATGCATAAAATGCATATTATACGCGAAAAAATAAGTCTTGTGTACATTGATCAATCGGAAGGGGTGCCAATTGGGATTGTTCACTAGCCAATAAATTAGCAAATATCGCCGTGGGCGCTTATTAGAGCGGGGCGCTTATTAAGTTGAATACGGTAAATGCAATCATCTTGAATGCGATGTAGAATAAGCTCCCAGTATCACATGCTTGTTGCAAAGCCCCACTGTGGATTGGTTGGTTGCTATTTGAGTGTCGTCCTGCCCTAGTGGATTTGTGTTTGTGATATCAACCACTGTGTTGCCTGGCCCTGACTATACACAGCTGGAATATTGCTGAGTGCTGTGTTTAACAGTATTCACTGAAACTGCACAAAATGTAACAGAGACCCAGCTGAAAGATACCGATCTTGTTGACTGTCACTATACATACCTAGTTCCTTGTCTATAAAATACCTCCTTCTATTCTTACAGAAATGGACCGAACAAGGAAAGCTGGAGATGCTGAAGATTTGCACGAACAAGCCGATGATAGCGCTGATTACTTCTCAGAAGGTAAGACACGGGGGGAGACAGGAGGTTTAGGTCAAACATCAGGTTCTTCACTTCACTCACCCACCATTAGCTCATGAGCTTGAAATCAAAGCCAAAGTGCCCTTCTGGTGGATGAATGTGATTTACATTCAAAATTGCGACCTTATGTGAAAGAATCCCCAGTATATTTTTGCGAAATCAGGAGACTGTTATCAAAGATTTTTCTCCTGGAAGTTGATCCCAGTAGTCAGAAGTGAGCAAGGACTGCCTCTGTGGTCGAGTGGTAGAGCGTCCGCCCGGGGAGCAGAATGTCAGGGGTTTGATCCCCGGCTGTGTCATGCCAAAAGATTTGTACTTGTTGTTACCCTTTCTGGCGCTCGGCTTTAAGGGGCTAAAACAAGGACAGGTCGACTCTGAGTCAGTATACTGTGTCTGAGTGGGGTATTCATGTTAAACTGCGGCATGGTATCTCAGTGGGCTAGCACTATAAATCGGCCAAAGCGTTACCAGTTGTATTAGAAATGTCATGCAAGAAGGGGGTCAAGTACTAGTGATATATCGCAGGGTTTCAGAAAAGAAAGAACTCTTTATGCCATCATGTCAGTTAAACAGGGCCCACTTGCACAAAGCGATCTTAGTGCTAAGATGATCTTAACTCCCATACTTTAACATTGGCTTACAATAGTCGTAGTGCTAAGATCGCTTTGTGCAAGTGGACCCAGGTCTTTAAACGAAGATATTGCAAATGGGTCCAGGGTATAAATCATAATAAATTATGTATGATACACTGGATCATTGCGGATTGTGGCTGTTACATTGCTGACTGTAAAACAACATTTATTCCCTTTCCTACATTCTTAGGGGCGGTCGGGTAGCCAAGTGGTTAAGGCATTAGCTCGTCACGCCGAAGACCCGGTTACTCATACTCTATGAATTCTGACCATTGGCACTATCCTTGTACCTATACTACTCCAGGGGTGGCGGGTAGCCAAGTGGTCAAAGTGTTCGCTTGTCACGCCAAAGACCTGGGTTTGATTCCCGACATGGGTACAATGTGTGAAGCCCATTTCTGGTGTCCCCCGCTGTGATATTGCTGGAATATTGCTACAAGCGGCGTAAAAAAACCAAAACTCACTCACTCACTCCTACATTCTTCAGAGTCGAGTGCTGTCCATGTGTCTGACAGACACCACCTCGGATGTCGACCTCCATGTCAATGACCACTTGGTTCATGAGGGGTACGCAGTGTTCACTCCGGATGAGCTGCAGACAGTCCCCCTGTACCCGGACAACCTGAGAGAGGTAAGTTTTACAATGCTAAACATAGCTCCATTAACCATCCCCACACAACAGACCTACATGGTATCATTTTCAGGGTGGTGTCCTGGTGCAGGACGGCTTGGCTGTTCTCAACACTACTCCATTAGAATATTTTGCCATGATTGTACAGATCCTCGTGATGCAAAAAATGTAAGCCAAGTACGCTCAAATGGATGCAGACAAAAGAATTTTGCATCCCAAGGAAGGCACATTAAATTCATTATCATACCTCCATGTCAGACTGATGAGATCTGATTGGTCCATGTGAAAAATTGTGTCAAGTGCTTGGAGGATAATGAATTTCTCAGCGGGGGAATAAATGTGTTTTACCCCGCTTCAAAGCAAAAAGCCACACGCTTTTTCAGAGTCAATGGAAGTCAAGTGACATAGCCCAAGTTAACCACACCTCAATCAAACAGCTGTTTTTTATCAATTTTGAATTTGTGTTAATTCTTTTACAATATCACATTAAAATGTGTCGTTAAGATCAATTTGTTGTAGCAGGATCACTTGGGGTACATGGGTTTTTTTGCGTCCCTCGTTTTATACCATTCGCCTCTTGTGTGTCATCCTTCCTCTGTGGCATGGATTGTTGCTCATGGTATCAACCACTGGTTTGACTCGTCAAGATTTGGTTATTTATGTTCCACTTTGAAATAACTGTAGCATTGCTGAGTGCAGCCCTAAACTATTTTCACTTGTAAGTAACGTAACATGTCTGTACGAATACAGAGAAAGCCCGATAGTCTGGTGCCTGTTTAGCCAGAATCCCAGCTTTCCTGATAATCAGGGCGGTCGGGTAGCGTTGTGATTAAAGCGTTCGCTCGTCACGCCCAAGTCCCGGATTCGTTTCCTGACATGGGTATAGTATGTGAAGCCCATTTCTGGTATCCCCTGCCGTGATTTGCTGGAAAATTGCTAAAAGTGGTGTAAAACCACATTCACTCACTCACTCACTCACTTTCATGATAATCACTGTTGGAAAGTCTTTTGAATTTAAGGTGATATTACAGTGTACCCATGGTTCGTTAATCCATAAACCTGTTTATCTGGACAATTTTACCTTGAAGGAGACTGTCCAGATTAACAGGGTGTCACCGTACATACATGCCTTGTTTCAAATACATGGCGGGGCGGTCGGGTAGCCTAGTGGTTAAAGCTTTCGCTCGTCATGCCGAAGACCCGGGTTCGATTCCCGACATGGGTACAATGTGTGAAGAACATTTCTGGTGTCCCCCGCCCTGATATTGTTGGAATATTGCTAAAAGCGGCATAAGACCATACTCACTCACTCAAATACATGGCCACATGATTTAATACTATATCTTTCCATTGAGAGGGAAACCAAGACATTTGGGTTGACCAAGTGCCAAATTGGATGCATCAGAAGCACTCATAAAATCCACAACTTTATTTCAACAAACTTTAAAATATATTGCCTTATTTTGTCATTGTACATGGAAGGCATGGATCCTACACATGTCAGCATCCTCTAGTTATTAACAGGTTGTTGCAATGATGCAGCTGCAGCTTAAAACAACAATACTGACCCAATGATAACACACACTTTTGACCAATATGAAGAATTATTTTATTTCTGCCACATGTCTTTGAAGTTAATACAATGATATATCTTTTAGCCAGTGATTGATTATATGGGTTATACAAGGATTGGAAAGAGTTATCCCTGTAGTTTGGGAATTATACTACATTCTGTAGCATGTCTTATCTTGTGATATACATACACAAAAAGTTAGTTTTAAAAGGCACCAATTTCATCTGCCATATGAAAAGTGAAACGTGTGTTCTTATGAAGAGTGTTTTTTTATTCCTTTACATTACCTATATGGACAGTAATATGGAATAATAAGATATATTGTGACACAATTTGGCACAAAACAACAACAAACAACATGAGACTGGTGTCAGAAATATCACAGACAGTGCAACATGAGACTGCAAGGATTATTGGACTGAATTCACACTGACAAGTTACATGGCATTGTTCAACATTGTTCAAACAGTCATAAACAGATAGGACATTATGTATGTTATACACCAGCTGGGCACAGATACTGGAGCTATCACAGGTAGGGGACTTCTACTCAACACAATCATTTCATTTCATGCCCTGTCGTCTTGATCTGACAGATTAATTATCAGGAAATTGCAAGCACTCCGGGTTGGACACATTACAATTATTAATATGGCTTTGTTTTCATTTAGCAAATGCTGGCAGGAAATGTAACAGTATCCTTTGGCCAAATCGGATATGAGCTTGTCAGCAATGTACATTTAACTGAAACTGTATGTCCTGAAGTATCAGAAAATGAAGTTTCAGACCATGTGTATTTTCTGATCCATTAAACCCAAACAAAGAAGCAACATGAACTGGTTTACATCTTTACTCTGAGCTGGTTTGTTTGTTTGTTTGTTTAACGCCGCAATTTAATGTAAGAGATTGGCCAGCTTGTTCAACCAAATTCATAAGTCAATTTAATGTAAGAGAATGGCCTGCTTTTTCAACCAACTTGGTAAGTCAACTTAATGTAAGAGATTGGCCTGGTTGTTCAACCAACTTTGATAATTCACCTCTCTGTTTGTTGTATAACGCTGCACTCAGCAATATTCCAGCTATATGACGGCGGTCTGTAAATAATCGAGTCTGGACCAGAGAATCCAGTGATTGATATCATGAGCATCGATCCACGCAATTGGAATCGATGACATGTTCAACCAAGTCAGCGAGCTTGACCACTCGCCTCTTACGACAAGCATAGTCGCCTTTTACGGCAAGCATGGGTTGCTGAAGATCTATTCTACCCCGGATCTTCACTGGTTCTGAGCTGGTAGTTTATAGTAGAGAATAAATCAGATCTCTGCTTTTAGCGAACTTCCTTCAATGATACTCCCTTTTGAAAGAATAGCACTTACAAATGACAGGATGTTTGAAATAACCACAACAATGTACTGCATAGTTTTTATTATTTACATTTGAAACTGGCTGTTTAATTTCATTTTTGATATACAGAATAAGATATGCTGGTCTGAATGCTTGCTCATACCGTGAATTTAGAAGCCTCACTAGTGATTGGCTGATTGTGAAGTTCACCCGATGCGACCTTCCATGGAGAGGTCGTCAGATCTTCACATGGAGAAGTATCATATCCGAGTAAAAGATCTGATTTACGTGAGATGAAAGACATGTCAAAATAGTATCTGGCAATGGGCATGTCAATATAATAAGCTGTGATAAATATGATAAAATATTTGTTTACTGGTTTGTTAAAAGTTGTTATGAATAGTTCTGAGATCATGGAATGGACATCTGAGAGCACATAAGTAGAAATATGCGCCATAAACATGATAAATAAATAAGGTCTGGTATACATAGTTTGTGGATGATGAAAATATGGTAGGCATACATCACAAATATCTTAATGTAGAAATACTTTGACGAAAAAGTCATCAAGATATTCATGGATATGTATTTGAAACAGTTTCGGCCTCTGAGCAGGTCTAGATAAATCCCCGACTACTGATCATTTTAGTTTGTACAGTGTTTTCCCAGGCAAAATTCAAGTTGTCAGATTGTTAAGTTAATAATATATTTTTCTGTCTCTATTGGCACTGTTTCAGATGTTATAACCAGAAATTATATATACAGATAAATCACAGTAATTAAGACCATCAAGGATATATTTTAAGTTATCCATAGTTGAATACAAGTAGAGTGTCACTAGTATCAATATAAGATATTGTCCAGACTAGAAAGTTACATTAATACATCAAGTTCATGAATTTGAAAGAACAAAGTTCCCTTTATCTGAGATGGACGGAAACTGAAATCACAGATATTCATGAAACTTGATCGTGCCCTCTGTCGTGCCTATAACGAGCATATTGTCAGAGCTTACCGACACAAACTTAACGACGTCCTCCAGGAAGAAACACTTCTGTAACTGGCCTTCATAGGTGAGGAGGTCAATGCGACCTTCACGCTTATCCGTGACGAGCACGTTCTTATTTCTGTCCACGCACACCAGGTCAGGACCCTGGTAGATTTCCCCGTCACTGTCTGTGTTGCCATACTCGAATAACAACACGCCATCCTTATTAAAACCAGACACAATATGACTGGACGGATCACACACGAAAAAGTTTTCAGCATTGTCAACAGCAATGTGCTGTGGCTTTTCAAAAAGGTAAAGTCCTTCATCAACAAAGTCGTCATTTGTGATGCGTAGTGTGATTTGACCATCTTTGTTGTACACTGCCACATTCCCACCGGACTTGGCTGACTTGCCGTAGTTGCGGTTGAGTTGGGCGTACCTGCTTGAAGAAATGATCACTTGACCCTGGGAGTATGGGGCAACATAATTCAACCCAAAACTTTCAAGATGAAGATTGGCAAGAACTGTGCCACAGCCATCATTCGACAAGACCTTGACCTTGTACCGATTGTCTCCCCTTGTAACCGCAACAGCCACTTTTCCGTCTGGAGCAACGGAGTGAATATTCCAGCCCTTTTCAACTGGAATTTGGCCCCGGATGATGCCCCTTTTTTCTACGTAGTAAACACATTGACTTCCTGCCGATGCTGCACCGATGATGATGTCCCCACTCTGGTTGACCCCCATTCCCTTGATGCAGTCTCGCTGGATGTTAGATGGGAGGGCAAGCTCCTTGGCTGGAGTGTCCAGAGTGAGAGAGGGCACCTCCTCCTGTGTGGAGGACTGGAAGGAGGAGTTAGACTGTTCCTGCTCTTGTTCCTCTGGTTCCTCCTGTATTGCCCTGAAGGTCTCGCTGGTGTTACTGGCACTTAGCATGTCATGGTCACGTTCCTCGTAGTCTTCCAGCTCAGTAATTTCTGTGTCATTGTCATGACTTTCTATTGAGTCACTGATGCTTGGATGTCCCGATTCTTGGGTTGTGGAAATGTGAGATCTGCTCGACCTTCGGGAACAACTCGCTACGCCAGTTTTCAACTCACCAAACAAGTCACAGATCTTCTCAACATTGACATCCGGTTCGCACAGGTTGAGACTCACCAAGTTCACTGCTTGTGTTGGGAGTTCAGTCTCACAAAGTTCTCTCACCCTCCGACCTATTTTCTTTCTGAGGGACACTTTTTCTTCCTCTGACCCAAATGACACAAGTTTCTCAGTGAGGTCAGTAACAGCTTGAATAGAGGCAAGATGCAGCTCAATGTCATTACGCTTTTGGTTGATGCACTCACGATTGTGAGACTGACGCTTGTCCACCTCACTAAGAAGGACATTCTCATACTCAGTGATGAGGTTGCAGAGGACCTTGGTTCTGTTCTTGACGTCCGCCTGGAGTCGAATCTGCTGCTTCTCAACAACCTTCTCAGCAATCTCCAGGTCTTTCAGAGTCTTCTTCAAGGTCTTAGAATCATTGGTCAGTTGGTCAAGGGGAGGTTTGATCTTCATCTCGAAGTTCTGAGACACTGCTGTCAGCTCTGCACACCTGTGTTCCTGGTGACTCTTGGCATGGCACTCTGAACACAGTGCCATGTCACAGTCCACACAGAACATAGCGCCGATGTCGTAGGCATCGTAGTACTCACAGCACTTGGACAACACCGACGGAGTATCTGGGGAGGCGGGGCGTGACCGAGGTTTGTTCTGAGCTTCATAGTCCTGAATGGTCTGAGTGCTGTGACTGGCGGTTTCCTCTTGCTGCTGATGGGACTCAGAACACATCTGACACAGGAAGTCATCACAGTTTATACAATGGAAGGATATTTCTGACTTTTGTCCACACTGGCGACAATTTCGGGATTTGTCCCGCTTTGGAGGCTTTGGTAGGGAGATGGCCGGATTAGACAGCCTTCTGGCAAACAGATTATCTGGCAGTTTCTCTACCTTCTGCTGCCTGAGGGTTGTTTCAGTGCCACAGATTGGACAACCAAAGTATCCATCCTCGTCAGCGAACTTCTTGACATGTGCCTGCAGACAGTCCTTACAGAAAGAGTGCAGGCAGGGAAGGAATTTGGGCTGACGGAATTCCTCCTCGCACAGACGGCAGCAGAGGAAGCCGCGAGGCACCACCCCGCAGTGCTCCTCCATCTTGCCTGAAACAGGGAGAATGGGATATATCAACTATATTATCTATATATATACACCTGGAGAAACGTTAAGCACCACCCCGCAGTGCTCCTCCATCTTGCCTGAAACAGGGAGAATGGGATATATCAACTATATTATCTATATATATATACACCTGGAGAAACGTTAAGCACCACCCCGCAGTGCTCCTCCATCTTGCCTGAAACAGGGAGAATGGGATATAACAACTATATTATCTATATATATACACCTGGAGAAACGTTAAGCACCACCCCGCAGTGCTCCTCCATCTTGCCTGAAACAGGGAGAATGGGATATAACAACTATATTATCTATATATATATACACCTGGAGAAACGTTAAGCACCACCCCGCAGTGCTCCTCCATCTTGCCTGAAACAGGGAGAATGGGATATAACAACTATATTTTCTATATATATACACCTGGAGAAACGTTAAGCACCACCCCGCAGTGCTCCTCCATCTTGCCTGAAACAGGGAGAATGGGATATAACAACTATATTATCTATATATATATACACCTGGAGAAACGTTAAGCACCACCCCGCAGTGCTCCTTCATCTTGCCTGAAACAGGGAGAATGGGATATAACAACTATATTATCTATATATATATACACCTGGAGAAACGTTAAGCACCACCCCGCATTGCTCCTCCATCTTGCCTGAAACAGGGAGAACGGGATATAACAGCTATATTACCTATTCTATATATACACCACCCCGCAGTGCTCCTCATTGGAATGTCCCAATGTTGGTTCACACAGCATAACAGTATTTTGTTTGTGTATCAAACAAATCTAATATCTCTTGACTATGCATATTTATTCATATATTAACCAACATGTATGGTATTCATGTGTCTTTTGACGGTGAGTATGCATGTCAGAAGTTTTTATTGGGATGTGGCTTGAGGAAAATCGGTAAGCCTAGCACATTTGATTCATGTTGAGACTTGCATATCATTTTAACAGTCTAGATAAAATATTTTCTACAACAAAAAGAACTCTCTTTTCAACCATATAATTCTTCTTGCAAAAAAAGGGGCGGTCAGGAAAAGAAAAGAAAAAAGGTTTCATTCCAGTTTTGAGATGTGTTTCCATAATATCAATATGAACAAAGTCCGCAACATCATATACAAGAGTTTGTAGCAGTATACACTGAAGGGTTTGAGATCAATCAATTAAGAGCTAATTATGTAAAGTAGAAATTTTTACTTAAGATTGTTTCCATCATATCGTCGTCAACAAACCCTGTAACATCGTAAACTAGAGTTCGGAGCTTTGTTCGGTGAAAGGTTTATGCTGCGATGTCAATACACATCAATAATTATGTACTGTTGACATGCTGAAGTGGATGAAACTCTAATGGTTTATGTATTCACATTAAACTGTTAGTGAGTACTTGATCCCAAGAAAAGGAGACTATTTCAGGAGGCTACACAAAGGATGGAGTGTTATTGTTCTATTTGAAAGCCAGCAAGTCTTGTTGGTGATGATTTACATGCTTCACTGAGATGTTGATTGCAAGGATATTCTTCACAGAGATATTGATCGACTATTTTCATCAGATTACCTTCTGCGGTTTCATCTTGAGAAGAAAACATGCTTTTCATATTGCTGTTTGTTGTATTTGTCGTGTTGAAACAGGAAAACTCCCTGGTGGTGACAATAACATGGCTTTGTTTTTTGGGTTGTTTTCTTTTTCACTAAATAAGCATGGTGTTGCTTGGTGACAGTAATATTTATGGTACTTGATGCTGAAACATTGTTTTGAGGATACACATCTGAATTCTTTGTCAGTTGTTTTTCCAGGGGAGCCAAATGTCTTGTGCTTGTTAATCTTCAGGAGTTACTTCTAGGATGAAAGAGTCACAAATAAGGGACACGTTCACAGTTAATTGCTTGATTAAATATTAATCTAGATTTCCCATCCAAACCACTTAGATGATTGCAATGTTTGCAATGTTTGCTACACTGACAAGGTAAGGATGTCATCTGTGGGATGACTCCATGCCATGCTACACTGACAAGGTAAGGATGTCATTTGTGGGATGACTCCATACCCTGCTACACTGACAAGGTAAGGATGTCATCTGTGGGATGACTCCACACCCTGCTACACTAACAAGGTAAGGATGTCATCTGTGGGATGAGTCCACACCCTGCTACACTGACAAGGTATGGATGTCATCTGTGGGATGACTCCATACCCTGCTACACTGACAAGGTAAGGATGTCATCTGTGGGATGACTCCATGCCATGCTACACTGACAAGGTAAGGATGTCATCTGTGGGATGACTCCACACCCTGCTACACTGACAAGGTAAGGATGTCATCTGTGGGATGACTCCATGCCATGCTACACTGACAAGGTAAGGTCGTCATCTGTGGGATGACTCCATGCCATGCTACACTGACAAGGTAAGGATGTCATCTGTGGGATGAGTCCACGCCCTGCTACACTGACAAGGTAAGGATGTCATCTTTGGGATGACTCCATGCCATGCTACACTGACAAGGTAAGGATGTCATCTGTGGGATGACTCTACGCCCTGCTACACTGACATGGTAAGGATGTCATCTGTGGGATGACTCCATGCCATGCTACACTGACAAGGTAAGGATGTCATCTGTGGGATGACTCTACGCCCTGCTACACTGACATGGTAAGGATGTCATCTGTGGGATGACTCCATGCCATGCTACACTGACAAGGTAAGGATGTCATCTGTGGGATGACTCCACATCCTGTTACACTGACATGGTAAGGATGTCATCTGTGGGATGACTCCATGCCATGCTACACTGACAAGGTAAGGTCGTCATCTGTGGGATGACTCCATGCCATGCTACACTGACAAGGTAAGGATGTCATCTGTGGGATGAGTCCACGCCCTGCTACACTAACATGGTAAGAATGTCATCTGTGGGATGACTCCACGCCCTGTTACACTGACAAGGTAAGGATGTCATCTGTGGAATGACTCCACGCCCTGTTACACTGACAAGGTAAGGATGTCATCTGTGGGATGACTCCACGCCCTGCTACACTGACAAGGTAAGGATGTCATCTGGGGAATGACTCCACGCCCTGCTACACTGTCAAGGTAAGGATGTCATCTGTGGGATGACTCAACGCCCTGCTACACTGACAAGGTAAGGACGTCATCTGTGGAATGACTCCACGCCCTGTTACACTGTCAAGGTAAGGATGTCATCTGGGGAATGACTCCACGCCCTGCTACACTGACAAGGTAAGGATGTCATCTGTGCGATACTGCAAATGTAAATTGTGCTCATTCAAGATTGAACAATAATCAATCATTGATTACTTTGTCAAACCAATGATAAGCTCCAAATCTTGACCAAATTCCCAACTCTAATTTGTATTGATTTGCCAGCGTTGTATATGGATACAGGAGCACACAGCAACTGGGTATTTCAATGTCAGTCTAACACCTAGGCTTGCATCATTAAGCATCGACCCAATTCAGTCATGGCAGTGTATCATTTACGTTGTATTCACCGTGTTGCTTTATTCCCAGATTTACTACACTACTATTGGCAATGTGTGACCCATCATTATCTGTTTTCAGTCACACTGAAAAATCAATTGCTGGGTCCTGCATAGGTATTTCTTAGAAAAAGATGACAGTTATTGCCAGTTATTTTTAGCTTTCTATTAACAAGATTTGTTCTTGGTCTCATGCTTTCTGTAGAGGTAATGATAATTTCTGTTTGCTTCATTTGTTTATATTTTTTTAACTTAACTGTTTTGTTGTTGCCTAGGGACAGTCACCTTCATCGGAATTGATGCTAATGTTGTCAATACATCTGAATTCTTTGTCAATTGTTTTCCAATGTCTTGTGCTTGTAAATCTTCAGGAGTGACTTCAAGGATAAAGGAGTCACAAATAAGGGACACGTTCACAGTTAATTGCTTGATTAAATATTAATCTAGATTTCCCATCCCAACCACTCACATGATTGCAATAAAGAGTGTGTTAAATGACAATACGATTATCATTTGGAAACAGAGAAAAAGTGCTGTTGTGATTCTGAAATAGTCAAACTGACTGATCAGAAGGAACTAATTGCATATTGTTTTTAATTATTTTAGTTTAATTTATTAATTTATTTAGTTTCCCCCTCATCAGAATAACAATAACCTGTTTGTATACAAAATGTTTATAGATAGTGGAATCTGTCCATATCAGGCTCTGTCAAATTGAATTTCGGTGAAAACTGGACTTTTTCACTGGTCCCCTCAGTTCCTTAATAAACTCTCATTATATTACTGAAACTGACCTACAACTCTCCTTTATTCAGACTTTGTACACTTCACTATATGAGTCGACTATGCTTGTCGTAAAAGGCGACTAACGGGATCGGGTTGCCAGGCTTGCTGACTTGGTTGATACATGTCATCGATCCCAATTGCTTGTATCGATGCTCATGATGTCAATCACTGGATTGTCTGGTCCAGACTCGATTATTTACAGACCGCCGTCATATAGCTGGAATATTGCTGAGTGCGGCGTTAAACAGCAAACCAACCAAATCACCAAATGAGTACAATAATCTTGAATGTGATGTTTGACCCCATTTCACCTCCCCTCTAAACTGTCCAATATGTCAACAGTAACATGACATTTGATACGGAGACTACGGTATGTGGGTCCGCATGGGTTTTACTGATTCCTCTAAGTCAACTCAAACACCCTGTCAAAAGGCAAATGGGTTTCAGCCTTTCAGGTAACCTGACCGATCCATTGTTTGACATGGGACACAAATATTTTATCCCAACTGGGACCAGCTGTCAAAAATCATTTGGACAAAAATTGGATGTTTCCACATATTATTGTTGCTGAAGCTATTTTGACCAAAAGATTCAAGAAACATAGTGTAGTACAATCATCATTAAAAAAAAGGCCATCTGTGTTAAGCATTGCAATCAATATTAAATATTAAAAAAACCTAC